ATTTGTTGGTGTTTAGAAAAATTTAACATTATTTCTGAATGTTATTAATTGGAATTGCGAAGCGGGCATTACGATAGTAAAGAATAACATAAATAATGCGGATCCTACACGAGACAATTGTAAGTCTTCAAACAATGTAACAATTATTGTATATCATTTATGCTTTCTAGAAGTTTCGAAGAAACGAAAAATATTAAATAACAATTTATTTTATGAAATGCATAATTTATTATGTTTACCTTGACCTTGAGAAATGACGACGACAACGCCTACTGGAGTAGAGGGCGTCGTTCAGGCAACCGATCCGCAACGAAATAAAGGCAATCGTGACGTGAATTAAATATGGCGGCGACATTCGCTACAAAGAGCCTAACTTTTAACACCTATTCTATCTAATATATTAATATTAAAAATATTTTTAATGAATAATTTTAAAATTCTACAAGAATATGTTAATTATTACTACAAAAAAGATTTAAAAAAAGAAATAAATATTTCGTTCATTAAGAAATTGCAAAATTATTACATTTATTCTACTTTGTAAGAGTGTTTATGTAATGTTAACATATGAAAAAGTCTTTAAAATTCTTCATAATTCGTGCCAAATATAAGAAAATGAACATTTAATCAGTGGCATGGCGACAAAATGTGATGTCTATGGCAAAAAAATAAAAAGTTTCTTAATGTATATCAAGTTATTTTTCTCAAACTATATTTAATTGTTGTTGATTTAGTGAATAAGATGAAAAAAATATTGGTACCTTCCACCAATTGGCATCTATGGTCGTGCTACATTAGCCATGTCCTCGCTACTCCACTGTCTAATGAGTGATCTATAATTAGACCCATGTTTTAACTGATGCAAGGACGAAATTATTATTTAAATATACTTAATAGAATTCAGAAAACACTTTAATATAATTTAACTTAAACACGGAAAATTCCTATCATCAGAATTCGAGGCAGACTTTTTTGCCGAATTCGTAAATTTCTCATGCAAATACTCGTACGTTTAGAGCTTACGCACGTAATACGAATTTAGAAATTTGCCATTTCGTCATTTCCTCTTAATGTATTAAACTTTATACTTATAATTAATAGATTCTAATCTTTAAATACGCGAAAAAAAAAAAATAGACTAAAACAATAATTTTCCTTGACTGAAATAATAAATCCTGAAGTTAAGGAAAGTTAATAATAGTTATTTAATTGAAAAGTTTCATTTATATAAAATATTTAATAAATATTTGATTCAGTCAACTTTTATAGCTTAAACTTCACTCAATAAAAACATGCCTATTATTTAGTTTGTCCTCTAATCAAGGGCACAAACCCAAAAATAATTACTGTAATATTTCTTATAGACTTTTCTGGGACTTTTAGGATCTTTTTTTTTGTGACTTTCCTAGGATTTTTTGTTCCTATATTAAAAAAATATCATGGGAAAGTCCCGTTTTCACTTTTCTTATATCCTATTATTTATGCATTTTCTCATTCTCCGAAGAGGATGGGTAATTTTAGTCTCTATCTCATAGAGAAGAATATCTTGTAAAATAGAGTAATGTTAATTTTTCCTAATGATAAATCATAATTTAATAAAGTTTTCTATTCAAATTTATTTTAAAATTTTAATTACAATATAGTATTAATTGTTTCGAGCTACAGTTTATACAATTAGGAGTACAATTAGATGTAATATATATAAATACTGTAGATAAATAATAACTTATGTATATTAAATGGTAAATTATGGTCTGATTATGTTTAATTTTGCTTAAATCTGAAAATTGAATATGCTTATCTTCTAATATGTCAGTAAAAATATTATATTAGTTGGTAAAAACATCATTGTTTATACTTTGAAGAGAAAATTATATTGAATGTATGTATAATATTAATAAAGTAATATATGAAACAACAAATTCTACTATGAAAAATACAGTTTCATAAAATCGAATTACGCTATGTCTATATAATGCATGATAAATTAATAAAAATCAATAGATAAAAATCTATTGTATTTAATATATTTTCAATTTTCATCATTCTCGTTAACCTTGAATTAATTTGACCTTGAAGCCCGAATATAAGTCCTTGATTTAAAATTTAAGGTGCCTGAATTCATCATCGAAGCGATTTTTCTTTGTTGTGGTATCAAAATAAAACATAAAATAAAATAAAATAAATGATGATTTAAAATATATGTTTTTAATAGGAAAATATTCGAATGATTATCAATTATATTGCTATTCCTCACTTTAAATAATAAAAACTGACGTTTAAAATATCTTGTCTCTAGGTCAAACGCACAAGAAGCATCTGACGTCAATTATACCGAACGAGTAGGCGGAGTTTCCACACTCAGGTGGGGAAATACGACACTGGGAGTTCATTCCAATAGGGTCAATGGCAAAACGTTGCGTGATCCTTATGCTAATAACTCTTTCACTAACTATATAAAGCTAGTCACTATCAATATTCCACAGATATAGCAATAGAAATGAAGAAGCTTAGCTGCATCGTTTGCTCGTATTACGAGTATTTTGTGTTAATCGTTACCTTTGTCGGTGCTGTCCATGCGAACTTATTGGTATCTACAACTTCTGGCACCGTAAAGGGGAAAAAAGTGGACACAACGGAAGGACAAGTTTATCAGTATTTAGGAATACCATACGCTCAATCACCTACTGGAGCCAACAGATTTAAACCACCTAAACATCTACCAGCTTCGGCTGCTTCTTTGCGATTCGATGCTACCGATTTCGGACCCGCTTGCTACCAGCCACCTCATTCTGTGGAAGTGATTAGTCCTTTACTGAGAACTAGAGATATGATAATCGACGAAGATTGCCTGAATCTGAATATTTATGTACCCAAAATCGAAACAAACGAAAAGTTGCCTGTAATGATCTGGTTGCCCGGAGAAGGATTCGATTATGCAGATGCTAGACAATTTGAAGGAACTTACTTAGCTTCTTTAGGTAAAGTGATTCTCGTTACAGTTAATTATAGAGTTTCAGTCTTCGGTTTTCTATCCTCCGAAACGGAGGATGCACCGGGCAATGTCGGGCTTTTAGATCAAAGGATGGCTTTCCGCTGGGTGGCTAAAAATATCGAAAAGTTTGGAGGAAATTCCAAAAATGTAACTCTTTTTGGCAGATTTTCCGGTGCGATGAGTATTAGCATGCACATGACATCGACTTACGCGCTTAATCAAGAAAAAAAGTTATTTGATAGAGTTATATTACAGAGTGGCATTGCTGTTGGCTCTTGGGTGTTTGATCACGATCCATCTTTAGCATTTTCACAGTTAGTCGAGTTAACTAAATGTTCGAGAAACAGAAAATTAGAAACAGTAAAGTGTCTACAAAACCTTCCAGCCGAAATATTATTAAAACACTCTCTTCAAGTACCGCAAAGATGGAGACCTATTATCGATGGAAAGTTTCTTACAGAAGAGCCAATGGAAGCAGTAAAAAAAGGAAAATATGCTGACGTTGATGTTATTTTAGGAAACAACGAGGACGAAGGAAGTCTCTGCTTGCTAACTTTGTATGCACATAAGTCTGAATTATATAACGAGATTCAAAAGAAAGATATAACAGAAAATACATTCAAGCGATTGATAGCAGACAATCTCTTCCAGTATTTTGGCAAGGAAAATAATCGGATAGAAAAAATTGTTACGCACCATTACAAATATCAACATCCATCTCTCCGCCGTAATTTTATCGATTTTTGTGGTGACTTATTCATCAAGTCTAGAATCGATCAGTTTTCTCGCTTGCTTGCTACTAATAATAATAAAAAAGGAAGAGTATACAGATATATTTTCGCTCATCGACCTTCATTCTCTAATCAACCACAATTTTTAACTGCAACTCTTGGTGATGATGTTTTATTTTCACTTGGACTCGTCTATCAATTGGATGATATTTACGAAGAGAAGTTATTAAGTCGGAGAATGGTGGTTTTATTCGCTAATTTCGCTCGATTCGGGTAAGTCGTATGTTTCAAATTTTCTAAAATATATTTATATTAATTGAGAATAACAAATAATTTTTTAATCTTTTAATTAGTAAGCCGGATCAATTTCAACAAGCTTTTAAATCCATTTGGCCAGAATTTACAGCGAAAGAAAAACACATTGCCAAATTTTCTTCCGACATCGAAATTATCGACGGAATTAGCTTTGATAGAACCAATGATTTGTGGTTTCAAATTTTACCTTCATTAAAGCCGATTGAAGAAGAAAGTACCGAAATTTCTAATTATATACTCGCATCAGATCTGAGTGGAACGGAAAAGAAGTCGAACGTGTACTTGATTGATAAAATAATATCCAACGAAACGACAGAATACGTTTTAATAGGGTTAATGTCCTTTACTATTATTCTGTTGATAATGATAAGTGCGATTTTAGTCGCCTATGTCGTATCTAAATCGAAATTTTACACTAAATTAAACGAAAGTGTGAGTTGAAAAAAATTAAAATCTTTCACTTTTCATTTATATTGAATGTATGTATAATATTAATAAAGTAATATATGAAACAACAAATTCTACTATGAAAAATACAGTTTCATAAAATCGAATTACGCTATGTCTATATAATGCATGATAAATTAATAAAAATCAATAGATAAAAATCTATTGTATTTAATATATTTTCAATTTTCATCATTCTCGTTAACCTTGAATTAATTTGACCTTGAAGCCCGAATATAAGTCCTTGATTTAAAATTTAAGGTGCCTGAATTCATCATCGAAGCGATTTTTCTTTGTTGTGGTATCAAAATAAAACATAAAATAAAATAAAATAAATGATGATTTAAAATATATGTTTTTAATAGGAAAATATTCGAATGATTATCAATTATATTGCTATTCCTCACTTTAAATAATAAAAACTGACGTTTAAAATATCTTGTCTCTAGGTCAAACGCACAAGAAGCATCTGACGTCAATTATACCGAACGAGTAGGCGGAGTTTCCACACTCAGGTGGGGAAATACGACACTGGGAGTTCATTCCAATAGGGTCAATGGCAAAACGTTGCGTGATCCTTATGCTAATAACTCTTTCACTAACTATATAAAGCTAGTCACTATCAATATTCCACAGATATAGCAATAGAAATGAAGAAGCTTAGCTGCATCGTTTGCTCGTATTACGAGTATTTTGTGTTAATCGTTAGCTTTGTCGGTGCTGTCCATGCGAACTTATTGGTATCTACAACTTCTGGCACCGTAAAGGGGAAAAAAGTGGACACAACGGAAGGACAAGTTTATCAGTATTTAGGAATACCATACGCTCAATCACCTACTGGAGCCAACAGATTTAAACCACCTAAACATCTACCAGCTTCGGCTGCTTCTTTGCGATTCGATGCTACCGATTTCGGACCCGCTTGCTACCAGCCACCTCATTCTGTGGAAGTGATTAGTCCTTTACTGAGAACTAGAGATATGATAATCGACGAAGATTGCCTGAATCTGAATATTTATGTACCCAAAATCGAAACAAACGAAAAGTTGCCTGTAATGATCTGGTTGCCCGGAGAAGGATTCGATTATGCAGATGCTAGACAATTTGAAGGAACTTACTTAGCTTCTTTAGGTAAAGTGATTCTCGTTACAGTTAATTATAGAGTTTCAGTCTTCGGTTTTCTATCCTCCGAAACGGAGGATGCACCGGGCAATGTCGGGCTTTTAGATCAAAGGATGGCTTTCCGCTGGGTGGCTAAAAATATCGAAAAGTTTGGAGGAAATTCCAAAAATGTAACTCTTTTTGGCAGATTTTCCGGTGCGATGAGTATTAGCATGCACATGACATCGACTTACGCGCTTAATCAAGAAAAAAAGTTATTTGATAGAGTTATATTACAGAGTGGCATTGCTGTTGGCTCTTGGGTGTTTGATCACGATCCATCTTTAGCATTTTCACAGTTAGTCGAGTTAACTAAATGTTCGAGAAACAGAAAATTAGAAACAGTAAAGTGTCTACAAAACCTTCCAGCCGAAATATTATTAAAACACTCTCTTCAAGTACCGCAAAGATGGAGACCTATTATCGATGGAAAGTTTCTTACAGAAGAGCCAATGGAAGCAGTAAAAAAAGGAAAATATGCTGACGTTGATGTTATTTTAGGAAACAACGAGGACGAAGGAAGTCTCTGCTTGCTAACTTTGTATGCACATAAGTCTGAATTATATAACGAGATTCAAAAGAAAGATATAACAGAAAATACATTCAAGCGATTGATAGCAGACAATCTCTTCCAGTATTTTGGCAAGGAAAATAATCGGATAGAAAAAATTGTTACGCACCATTACAAATATCAACATCCATCTCTCCGCCGTAATTTTATCGATTTTTGTGGTGACTTATTCATCAAGTCTAGAATCGATCAGTTTTCTCGCTTGCTTGCTACTAATAATAATAAAAAAGGAAGAGTATACAGATATATTTTCGCTCATCGACCTTCATTCTCTAATCAACCACAATTTTTAACTGCAACTCTTGGTGATGATGTTTTATTTTCACTTGGACTCGTCTACCAATTGGATGATATTTACGAAGAGAAGTTATTAAGTCGGAGAATGGTGGTTTTATTCGCTAATTTCGCTCGATTCGGGTAAGTCGTATGTTTCAAATTTTCTAAAATATATTTATATTAATTGAGAATAACAAATAATTTTTTAATCTTTTAATTAGTAAGCCGGATCAATTTCAACAAGCTTTTAAATCCATTTGGCCAGAATTTACAGCGAAAGAAAAACACATTGCCAAATTTTCTTCCGACATCGAAATTATCGACGGAATTAGCTTTGATAGAACCAATGATTTGTGGTTTCAAATTTTACCTTCATTAAAGCCGATTGAAGAAGAAAGTACCGAAATTTCTAATTATATACTCGCATCAGATCTGAGTGGAACGGAAAAGAAGTCGAACGTGTACTTGATTGATAAAATAATATCCAACGAAACGACAGAATACGTTTTAATAGGGTTAATGTCCTTTACTATTATTCTGTTGATAATGATAAGTGCGATTTTAGTCGCCTATGTCGTATCTAAATCGAAATTTTACACTAAATTAAACGAAAGTGTGAGTTGAAAAAAATTAAAATCTTTCACTTTTCATTTAATTGTTGGTTTTACAACAGTGCATAATCCCATTTCGTAACTTATATTTGACGATCATCAATATATATTTTTATTGATAAATTTTTATTGATCAATCAAAACGTCCAAAGTCTTTCATCTGTAATATAGATCTAATTACTGTAACATAGGCTTTGTTTGTGACTTTTTGTTGGTTCCCCGTTTGATTTGTCATCAAAATATCCTTTTAAGTATTATTTTATTCTGTAATATAAATGACTTTTACCATCTGATATTTTTGTTTTAGAAAATATCTTTCTAGTCGTAAAAAATTGAGAGTCAGTGTTGTTATTGTACTGAATACTCGTTATCTTACGAATACGGTGAGGAAAAATAAATAAATATTTTACAACAAATTAATTAAAGATTTGCAATGTTTTCTTTGTAAAACATAAAAATATTTTACATATTTAAAATTTTTATTTTGAATAATTGCATCCGAAGTCGTACTCAAGAATTCTTAAAATTTTACTGAAAAAAAAAAAAATAGAAAAGCAAGACGAGAGTTAATTAATATAAACATTCTGTTATTATTGTTAGATAAACGGTTATCGATAAAACTAGAAGTTATATTATTCTTCTAAAAATAAAATAATTTTAATTATAATCAATGTTAATTAACTAAGAGGATCTTCCGTATCCATTGTAGATTCGGTCAGTCTCACAATGAGGCGTTTCGATGAGATACAACATATTTGTTTCAATTTATCCATGAAAATTTCTGAACAGATCCGAATTTGAACTCCGCTAAACAAAGGCATTAATCAGCCTTTGCCAACAGATTTTCCAGATCGGCAAGTTGATGACTGCCGCCTCCAATCATTCGGCCGTGCAAGCTCTAATCTATATTCAAATTGGGATACTATTCTCCATTCATAATTTGGAGGATGGATCTGCGTCAAAAAGTCAACAAAATTTTTAGTTACAATCAACACGCTCAGAAAAGTTTTATGTTTTATGTTGGCACAAAGTACGGAAACAAGCCACACTTTCGTGTAACTGTGCCAGAACTGTGCAAACTCGCCACAAGTGGCAAATTGGCACAGAGTGCGCCAAAATTGGTGACGAAACTGCCCATTCCGAATTTAGTTAGGGAAACAAATAATATGCTGGTGTGACACGTTAACATTTGCGGTATGTTAAAGCGTCCAGGTTCACAGTTTAATTTAGATAAAAGTGTTCGATCTGCTAAAACCCATGGTGTAAACCTATTTGATGATAAAGAAACGTAAAAAAATGAAGCAGGAACTTTCAATCAAATCGGAACATTTTAATATATTTGTTTTGAAAATAAAATAGCAAATTAATGCAGTGATAGAATGTTTAACATTTTACATTTCTTATATTAACATTTAATATTTTACATTTTATGAATTATTTTAAAGGTTTTGTTTTATTCGTATACGGCAACGTGACATGGACGATCTGCCGAGGAGGAATGACTCCCGGAGATTTTTTTATGAGAAACTGGCCCTTATTTAGATGTTACTAACGTGAAGAAAACAAGGAAAACTCCACGATGGAGAGGCACGAACTCACGACCAGTGTTAACTGGTTTTATCCACTCAACAATTAAATTATTTTAAAGTATAAAAAGTGTAAGAAAAAAAGTTTATAAATTTTTGTTGATCGTTTTTAAGCGTTTGCCATTTAATATCGTTTGTAAATAAACAGTTTAATCCAGTGGCACAAGATGGACACAATGGATTTATTTCCAAAACGTGCTTCGTCCATATCACTTGAATTTTCAGAAGAAAATTATTTTTTGAAAGGTTAATTTTAAGTTAATTGAAATAGCTTTCCTACATAAAGTGCCTTCATTAGAAAATAGGCCTATAAAATCGAGAGTTGCCATGCAAATCATACTCAATACATTTACTTTTTTATAACCGAAGAATAAATTTGATTTATTTATTTGAATTTCTATAATGTATGTAATATCAAATTTAATATTAGCAATTTGAAGATAAATTTGAGTCAGAAATAAAATTAAAAAATAAATTCTTCGCGGCATAAAAGTAAATAAATCCGCTCTTCATACGATGATCTCTGAAACTTACTACTGATACAAAATATCAAATAATGTATTTTAATAACGACTAGTGATAGCGGATAAATGTCACTTCGTGATTTACGTGTGTATTGTGTTCCAAGAGCACTTGTGTGAAAAAAAAACACTCAAAGTGAGATAAATTATCTTACAGAAACTCATTTAAATCCGAAGAATGCATTTCTGTAGGATCAAGGTAACAAATACGTAAAGTAAACCAAAATTTATTACAATTTTTTGGTTTATTTTACGTAGATAACTTTAAATTACGATAACTTTTTTATAACTGTAAGCAATGGAAAAGCTAGGGTTTGTGCCGCCTTTGGCGGTCTTTGAGTCTGCCGCCCCCAAGAAAAACACAGCATAATACACATCAAACCTATTTAGACATTAGACATTAAATGGAAAAGACGTATAGCCATATAAAAAAACTCGTGGACACTATTTATCAATGTTGTTATTAATTAAGCACAACTAAGCGCTTGGTATGATGGTCAACAAAATCATCTTCAAGAGAATAGAATCCTTGAAACATGCATTTAATAATATTCGCATTATTAAAAAACTTTTTGAAAAATTGATCGCTAACTCTTGAGTTAATGATCAATTCTTAAAAAAGTTTTTTTTTACTACTTAAACCAGATAGTCGGACGGTCGAGTCATTTCAGGTGTCAATCTACCTCTTTAGGGACGGTCGAAAAACCCAAGGAATTTTTTGGGAGTAGACAGTCCTGGATATGTATGACACAGTCCCTTACCACCCAGTCGCCTCATTGTGGGCCTGCCGACAATGGGGCGGCTGGATGGTGAGGGACGAGGGATCCGTAATGTGCTTGATAAAAAGACTTTCTTATTCGCAGAGCGAAAAGAGCTAAAAAAATAGACGAGTGAACATATATGTATAAATATTAAAATGACACAACCTAAAAAATATTTATGTATCGCATAAATTATAACTTTTTATCAGGTACAAAATGTACAAAACAATTTAAAATAATTACTATCTCCGTGCGGACAATTTGCGCATATATAAAACAAAAGATTGAATGTAAAAAATAAGTTATTTGGGAAATTGTTGCGATCGGAAGTATGGGGACAAAATCTTCGCAAGTGGGTTAGTCGTGAATATAAACGGTTTTTACTATTTCCATTTGAGTTCGATTGTTTTTCTAATTGGAGTGATGGAATGGGCAATCTGCCAAGGGAGGGAGGATTTTTATAAACTGACCCCTATTTAGGTGTTAGACACGTGAAGAAAATTTAGAAAAGTTTACGTGGCCAACCCGTTGATCATGCGCGAACCCACAAAACTTTAGCACATTAAAATTGTTTTGTTATGGCTATGCATTAATTAATAAAAAAAAACATTATGCATACTGGCATTAAAAGTGAACTGTAAACTTTGTAAAAGTATATTAATGTGAAAGGGCAATTGAAGTTGATGGTACTGCCTAGTGGAAAGCAAGAAAAGTAAACTTTATCATTTTTTTTTTAGAACGAATTAATGAAAAATAGGTCTATTTGATTTGATTTTGTTGATGTACAGTATATGCTGTTCTTTTCACGTACTGTACAGTACACTATTCAGTTCGACTTATTGTATCACAAATTCCATAAAATTCGAATGGAATGTTTTTTAAAACACTTTTTCTGTGTTTTAATCATTTTAAGAATCTGATAAAAACCGGAAATTCTAATATTGCAATATTTTTTTCCGAATTTATTGCATTGAAAACTGATTACCTGCACTTTATGACAATCTATATTAATGAATATAATATAGTTATTATTATTACAAGGTATTAATATAAAAACGACATTATTATTATTATTATTGCAATGTCCCGACATATAATCTACCGATTATAATCAATATATAATATATTGTACCCGGCACATTATAGATTATATGTCGGGACTAATTTTCATCCATTTGGGGTAGACTAGATATGCAATAAGATTAATGTAAATGAATAAGAGCGGCATTCCGAGCGATTAATGTGGCTGCGTATTGTTCTGTGAGACCAAGATTGAATCCAGATGGATCACCAAAAATTTTTCGGGTAGTCCTTCGGGATAAGTTCGGTCACGTTCCTCTCCAACCGGCCGCACCATTATAAGCCTGGCCGAACCCATAATGGGCTTGCTAAAGATCTAGTGCCCACAGGGCAGTTACAGGAAAGCGGTTTGTTGGGTGTTAAACTATTAAGATGGGGATGAGAGATGTAAACAGAAAAAGTGAAAACACAAGTTTTACTTTATATAACTAGTTTTATCAAGATTCGACAAAAGAGAAAGTATAGGATAAGAAAAAGTACTTCTTTTAAAAAAATTTTAAATTATTTATTATTAACGTACCGGTATATTTTAATTCATTTGTACCAGAGTATGCTTATAATTTTAAAACGTTATTATAAAAACGGATAATTTTGCACAGAATCAAGAAACTTTTGTGTCGAAAATTATATTCGAACCTTCCGCCATTAAACAAATATACGCATTATACACGTGATAAACGTAACTACGAAAATGAGCTGTGATTGACTGTAGAAAAAACGATTTTCACTTTAGGTAGCAAAATTGGAATTCGCGACAAAAAGCGGAAACATTTCGAGATTCGCGTCAACGAAAATCACCGCAAGTGTGTATCATCTCTAAAACTGATAGATCCGGGATCGAATCTAGCCGAGCAACTTCTGATCTGTCCAACCGACGTCTCTCGTCCCATTGTGGGTCTGGCGAATCCACAATGGATATGATTAAAAAGGTCATCTTAGTTTCTACAGAGCAGTATAATAAGGAAAGATCTGAATTATTCATGACATTTTATGAGTTTATTTATTTTTTACTTTCTGTCCTTTGGGAACTTAAGATCCCTTTTTTCAGGGCCATCGTGAGTTTGGCCAAACCCATTATGGTCCTGAAAAAGGGACGGACCATCCCTGAGGTTTCGACCCGCCCGGATTTATTCCTACGTGGATCGTGAGCTGATGCTATACTGTATCTTACAACTTTCTGACAAAACTGTAAAGATTTACTTCACAGATTTTATTTATTTTCCACACACAACATTAATTTCATAGTCAATTATAATAGAAACACGGACGTGTTTCTTTCGATAGTATTATATTTTATCACCGCAACTAATTTCATAATTGTAAGAAGCATCACCTATGTATATTAATTATGAAATTACTATTATATAAAAAAAGATAAATCATATTTACAAGCCAAATTCCACACAGTTCCAATTGTTTACTTATAAACAAACCTTATAATTTTCTACCGTAAAAATTTATCAAAATTTCTTAATTTCTTGAGACCAGATCCAAATATATCTGCTATGTATTAAATCTATCAATAAAGTAAAGCAAAAATGAACGTAATATATGTGTCTATATGAGCATAGATATGAAAAGTATGTATAGCATCAGGTGTCAAAATTATAATTTTACGATTTGATCTTCGTGAAGACTATTTTTCCGGGTTTCATTCAAACAAATTCCAATTAGCATTACAATTGACAATGCTTTAAGCTTTTCCAAGGAAAAGTTATTATGAAATAATTTATATTTCATTATTAAAAAACAGTAATTTATATTCTTTGTACAAATATCGAATGATCATTTCACAATATAACATATTAAAGCTTTATGAGTTGTAGTCCAATAGTCAATAAAAACTACTGATCATAAGTGACAGTTACATAAACTGATTTTGAATAATAAGTGTTTAAAAAAATGAAAGAAAAAACTTGTGGAAAATTTCCTTAATTTCACAATAATCTGCTTTACAATAGAAATGAATTTGACAAAAAACTAACACAGAAATTAATTTTAAAAAAGTAATTTAAATTTTACGATAGATTTTCCTCTAATACATATCAAAAGTAATTTCACATCTTTGTANCTAGATATAATCTATATAATATAATATAGATATAATATCCTTAAATATACTTTTATATACCAAAAATTCCTTGACTTCTTCCAATGTGGCCCAGAGAACCAAAAAGGTTGGATACCCCCTGTTGTATACAGTAAAATCTGTTTATTGTTATAACTATGAAATTTGCCTACATCAATAACAGACAACCTATTGATCACATTAAGGAGTAAGTAAATAAGATTTTTAAAATGTGTAACTTGAAGACTAATTAAAACTAGTATTATTAATTAATAGCAACTCATCCAGTATGTTTGTCCCCTTTTACTTTTTGAAAGTACATTGAAAGTAAGTCTCTAACAATAGCTAGTATATAATTGAAGTGAGAAATGCCAATTTAAATTACTATATGACCAGAAAATAATAATTAAAAAAATTTCTTTAATTTTTAAAAGAACTGGTTAAGACTGATAACAATAATTGATAATGATTGTGAGACGTTAAATACAAGTTGAAGATGAGAGTGTAAAAACACACTCGGAAATGGCTATGTAACTATAAATAATGATAATGTAATTAGAGTTTCAGTCACAGTTAAGTGAAGTTTTAATTTGTTTTTAGTCATGTCAATTCTAATATTAGATAACTGATAACAATATCTGTAATTATAATAAACAGATAACTTATAATAGCATAAAAGATGTGTAAGCTCTAATATTAGATGTATCAATGTTCCCTTCCATTCTTTTGGAACTGTGTTTTTGTGCGCTAAGAGATTCCTTTCTCACTTCTACACCTGACAGCCAGAGATTCCATAACTTATAATAAGTATATAATTTATATAGTATAAATTTTTGTAAAATAATTTTCATAAAATCAAATATATGCTAATTTAAAACACAATTAATTCAAAGTATAGTAAATATTTATATGTGTTAAGAAAACTAACAATAGTTAATTTTAGTTTCCTTAGTTATATAATAATTACCATTAACATATCGTTACTGATAAAAAGATTCATATTTTTGCTTAAAATATTAATGACTTACTTTTTACAAGAGGTTTTGTTTTATAAAAATGCTTTTTTTACATCTGTTGGTACAACAGATGTAAAAAAAGCATTTTTATAAAACAAAACCTCTTGTAAAAAAGCAATTACCACACTAAACAAAATTATTACTGTGATAGAAGCACAATAATGAATTAGTCATTTAGTATAGTGAGTTTTGTTTTTTTGAAAAACAGACTGACTCATTATTTTGGGAATAGTAAAAAAAAATGAAAATATCATAATGGGAAAATATAATAATTTAGAAAATATCTTTAAATGATGTTCATTGAACAGTATTAATTAATAATATACTAGTTGTATTAAATGAGTATTACAGGTTAGAAGAATTATAATGACACTCCACAATTACATATTATTGTATTCTCTTTAGCATTCAATATGCAATTTGAGAAAATTGATTTGTTATATGCTGAAAGTTTGTACATGTAAAAGTTTTTCCTTGACTAGAACCTTGTATATGTTAAAATTGCTGCTAGCTATTCTTATAAAAATAATGAGTAATTGCACAATGGCATAATATCAGTAATTTTTATATTATTTTCTTTTATTTTATTTATGTCTTGAGGCTTTTCATATTTATTTCATTATTTACCAGGGATGAATATTAATTGGAAAGATATTATATAAAAATATTTAACGTTTTATTAATAAAAATAGTATAGAATTTCATCATATATTTAGCAGAAATAAATATTTTTCAAATAAAATTGTAAATTTATTTTTTCCCACTAATTTAGTTTTACTTATAATAAAAGTATTAATCTGTTTAATAACTTCACATTTTACAAACAAAATGAAATTAAAATTCGAGTGACAAGTAGCTATATGATCATATTGTATACTGGGGGTGTCCAACCCGCGGCCCAATAAATGTGTAAACGAAACTGACAAATGTTTTAATTAATTTATTTATTTATTTATTTCAATGGCATAAGCTCAAAAAAAGTTTCACAAAGCCATAAATCTTTATTCATATTTTATTTTTGAGTGGAAAGGAAATATTTTCAAATACTTGGAGATGTGTGAATGAGGAAGGATTACTAAATAAAGCTAGAGTTGTGACTCAAAGGAGTACAGACCAAAATTCAGGGAAAGTAAGGAAAGGAGAAAAAGGACAAGATAAAAAATAGTGAGAAAGGTTAAATAGATCTGCTTTGCAAATATTGACCCTTAATTTTCCAACCTTTCTCACTTCTTTATCTTTTGTCCTTTCTCTCCTTTCTCCGCATTTGGGTCTATAATCCTGTTTTTTAGTTTGACATAAAAAATATCATTTGGTGCATTGGCTACATTTTGGGCTACATATTATTTATAAATATATTAGTTGAATAAAAATGCACTTTAAAATGGTATTTTGTTGCTTTTTATTAATTAGAGACNTTAGAAAAAATTTCATAGTATTACAAAAAATTCAATATATATATAAAGAATTATTTACATAGCATAGCAAAACATTTTATAATTATCTGTTATATAAGCATTACTAGTAATTAATATAATTTCCAGTAGTTTCACATAAGTTACATCTATTTTTGTACCTTTGCTACAACTACTGAAACACCTGATGGATTAACTTGCACTGTTAGATTATTTTCTGGTTTATAGATTCCTAAAAATTTATGGTCAAATACTTCATAACACTCATATCCAGTTTCATGAGTAAGTCCAATACTATTAAGAACAACTGTAACATTGAGTGGACCTCCTAAACTTCTGCGATTGAAGAAAACTAATGCATGAGAAGTATCTTGTCCTATAGTTGGATTAATAGCTTTTGACCAAATTTCAACATTATTGACCTAAAATTTATAATTAAATTATTTTATTATTGAATGTACATAAAATAAATAATCATTATCATAATCTTAAAGAACTAAAAAATATAGTAAAGGCCCACTAACATGGACTAATAGGAGAGGAATGAAGTTTGCCTGAGTTTACAAAAGTCTGAGTTAGCAGGGTGTTTTCTCTGATAATGTGGAAAACCAGAATGTGGAAATTTAGTACAGTAGTTTGTTATGATTGGCTCTATACAGAAGTTTTACTAAGCTGAAATTATACTGCTAAATTTATTATTACAAGAAATGAACATAAAAAATTTCATGACAGTACAGTATACAACAATGTACAGTCTTTAGTAATACTCATTAATTGTAATTTTAAATTTTATTTTTAAGAAATTTTAAATTACTGTTTTGAAAAAATTCATCTGAGTTATGTGAAGTCTAAATTGGTGGGGTTTACTATATTCCAATAACTTAATAAAAAATAACTAGTAAATTTTATTAAATTTCACAATACATTGCAATATTTAACCAGAAAATGTTTAAATATTGTGGAACTGAAATCAGTCCAAACCTTCAAATATACAGATTTACTTCATACATTATTTATCTGAACTTCTTAAAATTAACTTACTTTGTAATTAAGTTATTATTTTTTTTAAATTATTACAAAAAATTTTTAAACATAATAATTACAAAATAATTTTCACTGTAATTCCTTTATTAAGAGCTATTTATCATTCATTAAATTATAAAAAAAATTACTATTAATTTTAATATATACAAGAGTAATTTTCTAAAACAACTCAAATAAACAGAAGTGAAGAGTCCACATCAAATATATATTTCAAAAAGATTTTTCTGTCTATGCATATTTGATAGAACATACAATTCTGAGATCAATTTCTGGATCAATTTTTATGCTTTTTTGAAAAAGAAATCAGAAGAGATTGGCTCATGTGACCACCAACATGTATTTGACATCAATTATTTCTTCCTCTGGGAATATCCTAAAGTTCAAATGTACTACTCACCATAAATTATATGTTCTAAGATTTGAAAACATCATCCATGTGAAGAAAGAATCACATATAAGCAAGTGTGATTCTTTTTGAAATTTAAATACAGAATAGATATTACAAGTAACAAAGAGATTGAAGTTAAAATGTAATAAAATATGAAAAAAAAATACTTTTGAACTATTCTTTCAAGTAAAAACAATACTTGTAATTCTGTTTATTTTCTCAATAACACTATTTTAAAATCTACTTTCTTTTAGAAGTTATGTATTTTCATATCTATAAAAAATAAAACAAACATTGTAACTTAGAATAGATTATATGCTATTAAAACATAAAAAAAACAACATCTGTAATCTTGTTGTAAAGCTTGGTTAATAATAATATATTACAGCATACAGTATATAATATGTAATGGATAACTCAAGTTTGTTTAATGGTCAATAAAAGAGGATTTTAAAAAATGTCTTATGTTACTTAATTTTCAACTTGAAGACAACACAACATAGAATAAGGTGCAATGTGGTTCTATGATACTTTATTACGATATCATTAAAATGAAAATTCATTGTTGAATCAAATCAGATTCTTATTAAGCAAAAACCATAAATAACTAACTGTTTTCTAATCTGTGTTCAATTTATTTCTTTAATAGAAAGTTTATGAAAAAATAATGTATCTCCAATTGTTCAATAATTTTTTGATCAGTGACATCTCAAATAATTATTATTTGAATCTTCAGAGATACTGAACCATTTACTGTATTACTGTATCCATTCAAAAAATTTTCAAATTCTATGGACTCGGAGATTTTGACCAAATTATATAAAACCTTAAAACAGGGGTGTCCAACCTTTTTGTTCTTCTGGGCCACATTAAAAGAAGTCATGGAGTTTTGGGCCAAAAGTATATATAATATATTTGTGACCCAATCCTTAAATATACAAGTATATTTAAGGATTAACATGTCTAGATTATAGTAATAAGCATTAAAACTTTATCACGAACAAGGATATTTTAAAAAATCATTTCTACAGACACTTTCAATTTTTACTTAGAAATAGATAAATTCATTTATTATAAAGGAAACAAACAAAAATTTATTTGAAAAACACAAATATTTGTTTTATTTGGGTCTCTAATTAATAAAAAACGATGAAACACCATTTTAAAGTGCATTTTTATTCGACTAATATATTTATAAATAATATGTAGCCCAGAAAGTATCCAATGCACGAAATGATAATTTTTACGCCAAACTGAAAAAAGGGTAGCCAAATCTTTCAATGGTCTTTCAATGCTGGAAAGAATATTAAATAACGCTGGAGTTGGAACTCAAAGGATTATAGACCCAAATTTGAGAAAAGGAGAGAAAAGACAAAAGATAAAAAGTAGTGAGAAAGGTTAAATAGACCTTCTGTTATGCAAATATTGACCCTTAATTTTCCAACCTTCCTCACTACTTTTTATCTTTTGGCCTTTCTCTCCTTTTCTCAAATTTGGGTCTATAATCCTTTGAGTCACAACTTCAGCTTTATTTAGTATTCCTTCGTCATTCACAAATCACCAAGTATTTGAAAATATTTCCTTTTCACTCAAAAATAAAATATGTATAAAAGTTTACAGCTTTGTGAAATTTCTTTTTTGAGTTTATGCCATTGAAATAAGTAAACGAAAAAAAAAATAAAAGAATTTGTCGGTTTTGTTTACACGTTTATTGGGCTGCATTGGAACTTGCTTTGAGCCGCATGCAGCCCGTGGGCCGCGGGTTGGATACCCCTGCCTTAAAATTTTATTTATAACAGCACCAAATTAATAAGTTGATATAGAAAAAATTTCTTTAAAAAATTTTAGCTAAAATTTTTTTTCCTGTATATAAATCTATAATCATCAAGAACATTAAAAATGTAACAAATCTCTATTTAAAATTACAACAATAGTTCCATTACAGGGACTGGTCCCTATTTTAAACATATTTAATAATTATAAGTAGATCCTTAGTAATATATTAAATTTTAATTCTGAAAAAGTATAAGGGGCTGTCTGAAATATCTGTGCCAATGATCAATTTAAAATTGTTAGGAGAAAACAAGATATGTTTCACAATTTTCTTACAGTTATTCTGATATTAATCTATAAAATTACAGAAAAATGCAACAAAATTTGTCAATATTAATTTATTAAACTATGAGAAGAAGATTAAAGTTACAATTTTTAAAATATATTTTAAAATAATATTTTTAATATAACAGACCTTTTAAATACTTTCATAAAAGAAGATAAAATTATATTTATATATTGAACAAATAATGAGTATTTTGTTAAATTTAACTCTTTGTTTGATATCGGAAAAAAATTTAATGAACTTACTGAAAGTAATTTTTTTCCCATTGTTCCTAATAAATCTTGATTTATGGCAATGAGATCTTTATTCAAAAGAATCTTTTTAAATTCTGGTTTAAGTTTTCTTAAATCATTTGACATCAATAAGGGTGCAGACATTATTGACCATAAAGCCATCTGTGCTTTTGATTCATCATAACTTAATCCAAAGTTACCTATAACTAACTGAAATATAAAATAAATAAAAATAATTTAAGTTTCAATTTTTTCATATTCAAATATTTTACATAACAATATTATGCCATCTTATAAAAACATTTTTTATTTTTATTTTGTAAAAACAAATATCCCCTTATAACAGAATAGTTAGGTTCTGAAAAAGGACCATGTTATATGAAACAAAGGACTAGTACAAAACATAAGGTTAGGTTTCAAAAGTTAGCAAAAGTATACTATTCTTTTTTTGCAATTAAGAAAAATATGTTTATTAAAGCAATAAATAATTAATTAACAATCACAGTCAAGTTTTGCATGTTGATATTAATTTTTTCTTCACTGCTAAACCCTATTAAATGGTGAAATTTTCTTTTTGGCAAAATATCATCATTGTCTGAGCTTTTCTGTTGATCTTAAGCTAAAGTATCAGCAACATCTTGATTTTTTTCTACTTTTTTTCATAAAATTTGATATTTTCATTTGCTTGCATTTGTCTAAGAGATCTTTAAAAATTTACTCTTATGTAGTAACTTTTAATTTAATTTATAAAAACAAAACACAATGACAGTCTTTCAAGTTCATTTAGAGCACTATCACCAATAACAATGACACCTCATTTATAGGAAAGCTAGAACAGAATCTAGGACAAGGGGAAAAAAAATTGTAGAAATCAGTTCTCGTTAAAGAAAACTGGGCAAACAGCACATACAACATTGAAAATTTCAAGACGACATGCATACTTGCTTGAATAAAAAAATATTAAATGACAGTGTTTTCACTTAAAAATTGTGATTTTTTGTATGGGATGTCTCCAATTCTCAAACAGCGTTAGATCAAAACCATGTTGTACAAGGGATACCTGTATTCATTTACATTATTCAAGTACAGTGGGGCATTCATTCCAGGAGGCCATTGAAAATCTGAACTAATTTATCCCATTGGAAATAATGGAAAGTGAATTGATCCATTCCCAGACCCTAAACAATACCCATTTCAATAAACTTAAAATAGCAAATACACAAAACTTAAGGTAAAAATAACACAATTAAATGTCCTAATAATCAATTAAAAAATGAGAACAATAAATAAAATGTATAATAAAATGAAAATTGCATTTATTAATACTAATCACACACCGTCGACTTCTGCATCTTAAACATGGTCACCAGATATCTACCATATGTGTATTGCTTTCTTGAATTAGTATGAGGGCTATTTTTTAAATAACGTCCATTTGAGAATAAGAGTGAGAGTGATGTGCAATTGCAGCAGTGTGCATGAGCATCTATTCCCAGCATGCTTTGAGCATGTTTAGACACCATTTGCAGCCATATCGTCTGTCTGTGTGCTGAGGTGTAGAAGTTTATAATGTTTAAGAAAATTGTGTCATCTGCTGAGATATGATTTCAGCACAAAAGATCATGACAACTGTCTTTTGGGACAGGAAAGGATTTTGTTAGTGGATTTTAAGCCAAGAGACACAACAATCAATTATGATGCATATTGTGTGACCTTGAGAAAACTGGCGTGCCTTACAAAACAAGTGCAATGGCCTACTGTCTTCCGACAGCAGGCGGCAGATTTCTTTGAAATCAGAATTCAAAAAATTGTTGAGTGGTATAACAAATGTTTGAACAAAAATGGAAATCATGTAGAAAAGTAGATAAAAGTATGTAGAATATGGAAAAAAAATATATTTTAATGATATTTACAGTATTTACAGTATTTTTCTTCTTATTAAAAACCAGAGCTTATTTTAAAAATATCCTTCATATTATAAATTCATATATTTAATATTTCCTCTTTAAATTATGAAATATCAGTAAAGATAAGTAAATTTCTAGAAATTTTCATAAAAAATATTGTCACATTAAAAATAAATTGATAAGTTTGATAAACAAAAAATGAATAATTAATTTAAGTACATCAGTAAGTAAATAAATAGAAATAATCATTGACCCAACATTGTACATATATAAATTATGTTATGTTAAATTTACGTCAAACACCAGCTGATTAAATATAAGTCTAATGATTAATACATAAAATATTTAATAAACAGACATTACTAACAAAATTTAATCTTAACTTATTAACCTTTGAATGATCAATATTTATATTTAATTCTAATTTATTAAATGACAAAGTTTAAAAATTTTACTGCTTTTTTAATTCTCAATAATGTCTTTCATAGAAGAAAACTAGTTATAATAATGGTAATGTTGACAAAAATTTACAGAATAAAAATTGTTTGAATTTAAACTTATTTAAAGCACAGTTTATAAAAGTATAAGTCACAATCTAAGCATTCTTTTATGATATATTTAAAATATATCATAAAATAAGATTTAGACCTTTTATATACAATATTTGTTATAAATAAATAGTAAAGCATTTAAAAACACTACCATATCGGGATCATTCCAATGCCCTTTTCCAGCTGCTGCTCTGAGTACATCTTGTTCTTTGGCATAATAATCAATTATGGACAAAACACTCTGCCATGAATCACTAATATCATCAAAATTGCGCCATATATTGCAGTTTTCTGCAATTTTTGTGTAATTAGGCTGAAAATATTTAAATATTTAAATTATCAATAATGCAAAGCTTTTAATTTTACAATGTCATATTAAAAATTAAAAAAGTATAAAAGAACAATTAACATATATAAAATACTTATAAGTTTTAAAAATAATCAATAAAAACTAACATGATTAAAAATAATTTCCATATGTACAGAGTGTTAACAAAAGCATTTAATATTTATACAGTAGATAGTACATGCCATACTCAATTAAAAAAAAACCTTAATAAACAATAACTCAAAAATTCAACTATATGTAAGATATTAACAATTTTGTGTTAGTTTCATGACTGACTTATTGGCTTCTACATATTGTATGCAACATAAAAAAAAAGAGAAAAATCTTGCTAAATATTTACCTCAGTTTACAGGAAGGTATACATGTCTTCTTTTCATTTTCATGCATGCTTGGCATCATTATGTTAGAGTAATTGCTAAGATTTTTTTACTCAGTTTGGTTTGTACTATCTACTGTATAAATGCAGACTTTAACATCCTGTATAGCTTGTAATAATAAATATAAAACTTGATGTATTTTTTTTTATTATGCAACCATATTCAAAATAATTAAGTCATTACATTTAATTTTGATAAAAAAAAAAAAGCTGGAAAGTTTTTAATTAAGAGAGTAGCATGTTGTTATTTCATGATTTTTCTATATAACAATTTGACAATTTATGTATTGAAGAATAAAATTAATTAATTCTATTGTTAGTTTTCTGACATTTTAACGATCTTCATAGCTGTTAAAACAAGGGGATGCTTCATCCTGATTTTCTGACTACTTGTCATATGTCTATTACTTATTTAATTGTGTTGAAATGTGTTGAAATAGAAACACACCTTGTGTTAGTGAATCAAAAAACTTATTTAATTATAATTTCATTAATGTTACAAATTAACCTCAGTATCATTACTGTTACAAATTAGATTGAATAAAATCAATTTTGTATTTATAAGTTTATAAAATACAAAAGTTAAATTTTATTATATCCAGATTCTTATGTATTCTGTCAAGATGAAAGAAATTATTCAATAAGTTAGAAATATACTTATTCAAGAAATATGATGGTCATTCAACATTATTTAATTCATTTATAACTATGTTAAATTTATAAAAAAATTAATATTAAATCATTATGTGTAAGTTTAATGTATGCTTTTATTATAATTATATTTTATCTTTTTTTTTTTTTATACTTCCAAGTGGAGATAATTAACATCTATGTCAATAAAACTGAATTAAATTTCACAATAAAAATATTAAAAGTATTACAAGTCAATTTCTAATGTACAGTAAAACCTGTCTATGGCGACCACCCACGGTTCCTTCAAAAAGTGGTCTTTTAGGCAGGTGGTCGTCCAATACAGGTGGTGCTGTAATACCGTATTTACGTACGTATTTTGCGCACTTTTTAGCCATTTCTACTAAGCAAAACTCGAGGTGAGCAAAAATAAGCGAATTTTTTCAACGATAGGGCTATATTGGTATTGTATTTTATTCTTATCGGATAACCCGATTTACAGGAGTCGTCATGATATTATAAGACAGATTTAACACCAATATTTTAAAGATTAATACAATACTCGCATTTTCTCGATTATAATGCACACTTTCTTTTTTCCGACTTAATTAATTCGACTCGGTTCTTTTCGTTCGCTCCTCAGTTACGTGTATTACGTCATCAATATACAAGCGCGTCCTATCTCTCCATCACTTTGCTTTTGGTTTTCGTTAGTTTAATCTTATTTTAACTTTAAAAATACTGTATTTTTTAATATTTAATATTTTCTTAATTAATTAAGTACAATAAGAAAAATTATTAATTAATAATAAAACGATTTTATTATTTTTTCTCATTATACGATTTCATTACAATCGCGGAATCGAAAAAGGAAGTAAAACTGATTTTTGCATTAATGCGTTTATTGTTTTTTGAATATTTTGCCTGCGAAAATTACTTGGATATTATTTTTCTAAAAATATCGTGGAAATAAGGTAGGTTGATACAGAAACTATTTATCGCACGTGTACTGTATATGAGCTTCAAAATAAATAAATAAAAATAGATTTTATCAAACGATGAGATCAGCCGATTAATTGTATCGTGTACAATATTTTACACCCCCAAGGAAAATACTGTAGGTCTAGGGTAAAATAAATTTTGTTTTCCCACAGTTAAACTTCGCCGCTAATTGCTGTTGTGATAACTTTAATACGATCTTCTAACGACAGCACTTTGCATTTCGGACATTTTCCAACAAACTGAAATGAATTTCCTTTGTTGCTAGACTAATTTATTAACACCTGCACCTAATTTCAAGGGTGGGAGAAGTGCCCGGGATGGGTTCGAACGAGAGTTTAGACTAATTCATTATATTAGGAGGTGGAAACGTTGTTGAGATGGGTTCTTACAATAGTTTAGACCAGATACATTCGCGAAAGTGGTCGCTTATTACAGGTGTTGTATGTTGTTTCGGACCAAAAATCGATGCCCGCGGTCGCGTTACACAGGTGGTCGTTTAATACAGGTAACTTATACGAAGACTCTATGGATAAACTATTCCGTGCCAGAAATTTTTGCCCGTTTTGGCAGGTGCCCGTCGAATGCAGGTGGTCGCCTAAGCAGTTTTCACTGTATTGAATTTCATAATTTTCACATACAAATTTATTAAGTAAATTGTATAAAATAAATCTTGTTTTATCAAAATCAACATACTAAGCTAACAATTGTTTTATCATCATGTTTAAAAAACTTCTGTAGTATAGATGAATATAGGTTACCTACTTCAATTAAATTTGTCTGAATCAGCTCATTTTAGATTCACTGATATGTTGTGTCACACAGTGAGTAGAGTTTGCAGTCCAGCAATACTAAATTTTGTAAAAATATTTTGTAATATTTATATCTATTTTTATTACAGATGACACAAAAACTATAAAGTACAAAATACACAATTTGTATTTATTTGTAATATTGCAATTTATTATAATTATTACAAGATTAATTAATATTATGTTTTTCACCCATAAAAGAAACAATTTCTCAATTATTTTTTCCAAAACTGTTTTCTTTTAATATAAATTAGTGTCATTTATGTTAAAAAAAACAATCTTAGAAAAAATAGTCACTAGTGAAAAGATATACAATGTTACAAGAAATTTGATATTGCTTCTTCAATATTAGTTGCAATTTTAAAAGATTATGAAAGAATTGAAGAAAGATTAAAGAGTGAACCTTGGGACATTCAATAAAGTTCAAAATGTTTTATATGATGTCATCAATAAAACTGCTTTTTCATTGTTACAAAATGTTCAAAAAGAAGTCTCAATTAATGGTCTAATAATATGCAAAGAAGCATTAAATTCTGAGAAACTTTCAAAACCTGATAGTTATCCAATAAGCATTTAATGGCTCAATTGATTTTGAGTTTAATATGAGACAGCTTATGGAACAATATGTGGAAAAGAAAACAACATATCACAAGATCTAGTTAGCAAATGATGTGCTAATGATATTAAAAAAAAATCACTGAATACAATATCAACATTTTTAATGCTAATGAGACAGTGAATTTTATAAGTTACTTTTACATCATAAACTTACTGTTATAGGAGATTAATGAAATGGACAGAGAAAAAAAATCAACTGTATTATTTTGCTACAAGATTTTTAAAATATAAAAACTGAAAACACACTATTGGAAGACATGTAAATCCATGAAAGTTTTAAGAATGCTGTTTGCATGATAATTGAAACTTTCCTGTGATTATCAAGCAAATAAATATACTGTAGAGCATTGATTATCCAAATACCTATTAACTGAAACATCGATTAACTAAAAGTGTTCCAGTCGGCAAATTCAAATTTCTGCTAGTGCTGTGGCACTACAATATTTGGCTATGTCTTGGGCTACTCCAATATTATTTTTGTTGGTGTGCGTGTTTTAGCTGGCAGCCCTGGTGCGACCATATTGTATCGTTAAAAATTATTGCTTTATTCTGCACAAACAAAATAAACATATTGAAATATATAAAAACAAAAAAAAAAAATTATATTTCGGAAGTTAATCTAGTATTAAAAACGTTCTGATTCATACATGTCAAGAGGGTACTTAAGGATGCACCAGTATTTGAATGAGGCTTTTTTTTTCACATTGTGAGCTATATTCTAGGACCTTGCATCGTGAGTGGTGTGTTTTGCTTCAGTTCATCAGAGAATATAGCCCAAGCAGCTGACATTTCCAGATAAACCCAAGAAAAAGAAAGAGTTTTGCTTGTTTTGTGTGGTGTTTTTCTGAGGACTGTGTGTCGTGCTGAATTGGAATGTTTTTGATACTAGATTAACTTCCGAAATATAATTTTTTTTGTTTTTATATTTTTCAATATATTTATTTTGTTTGTGCAAAATAAAGAAATAATTTTTAACGATACAATAACCATGATTATTATTTTAAAAAACTTTTGTTAGGCTTAACATCGACGAAAATCCAACACAAAGCGACACACAACAGAGAAAAATTTCAACATGGGATAGGTTAATATATTTTATCATACATGATCAGTTATCCGAACAACCCTAGTCCCTAATTGCTTTGGATAATTAATGCTCTACTGTATTCAGGTGAAATGTAATATTTAATGAATGGCTAAAACTTTTCAAATAAAAAGATAAAAAATTCTTCTCTTGACTGATAACTATTCAGCATATAATTTTGGTATGTGAATTTAAATCAAATTCAAAAGACTGTAGTGATATTATGAAGTTTAGAGATAAAAATCAAGTCAAATTTCTATCTCCAAATTGCAGAGTATCTCTGCACTTTTTGGATTTAGAAAGTTTATATGCAGTCAAAATTCAAAAGAAAACTTAAAACTTCTTGTTAAGGAATTATTTTTGGCTTCTTTAATTAAATATGGTAACAAGTTTCATTCATTTTCCAGACAGTCAAAATACAGGGTGTACATAAAAGAATATAGCAGTTTGAATTCATTATAGTATCATGGATCTGAAAATTCCCATAAATGTGAATGAGACTCCCCAAAAGTTAGTGTTTTCTGTGCTGTTTCACAACAACAAGTTTATGGGCCTTTCTTTTTTGCTGAAGCTACCGTAACAGGAGTGGCTTATTTGGATATGCTCCAAGAATGGCTATTTTCCCAACTGCAAGATGAACCAAGTAAGTTCATTTGGCAACAAGAAGGCACACCTCCACATTGGCATCACTTTGTATGAGATTGGTTGAATGATGATGTCACTGACCAATGGATTGGTCACCATGGACTCAATGACAGGGCTTATCTCATGTGGCCTCCAAGATTACTCAATTTCACCCCCTGCAATTTTTTTCTTTGGGGTTTTGTAAAGGACTGAGTCTACGTGCCCCCACTGCCTACTAATCTGCCCGAGTTGAGACACAGGATTGAGAAGCTGTTGCTACTATCACTCAAGAAATGCTGGTTAAGGTATGGGAGGAATTAGCCTACAGATTGGATGTGTCACGTGAAAAACAAAGCTCATATTGAACACTTATAAAGTAAACTAGAGATGTTACTCTTTTTTTTCACATTTGGTTTGTTATTCTTTGTTACATTTAAAGTGCAATTAAACACCTTTAAAGCTGCTATATTCTTTTATGTACACCGTGCACATTACAGAAGGCAATTTATCAAAAATCTATTGCTAAAATTAGTGTCAGAAGAAAATAAAATATTAAAGAAACAAGTAACATGGTTGTTATGCATAATGATCAATAATAAAATGTTAGAAGGCCTCAATCCTTACAAACAATGGTCTCAAATTACAAACAACTGCAATATATAATTATAATGGAAGTAAAATGTGAAATGAAATTCTGTAGTTACTATCATAGAAGTTCAAGACACAGTTAATTAGTGGTATGGTGCTTATATAAAAGCACAGTTTAACTGCAAGCAAATTAGAAGACTAAGAAATTATTGAAAATGTATATTTATGTTTGTCTCCTGTAGAAATAACATTTACAAGTGATGAGGAAAAACAAATCAACTGATGAGAGTATTTCACTTCCAAAAGCTTTAAACAGTCTGAAAAAATTCACAAATATTGTCCTTTTTTTGGTGTCCTAGAAAATATCTTTAGCAGTTAAACAATGTAGATTATTACTTTTAATAATGTTAGTAAAAAATATGATACAGATGAAATTATGATTTCTAGTTTGAATTCCTTCCTGCCTGTTCTTGAGAGTTTTTTCATTTTCCTGTTCCTGAATCCCAAGAAAAGTTGGTCAGAAAAGTGGGAAATTTGGTTCCTAGAACCTGGTAATATCCACAATAGGAAATAAATGTATTACTCACAATGTATCTTTTAGACATTTTTCCTATTTATCATTATGTAAACTTACACTGTGTTACAATATTACCTGTCTCCAGAAATGCTTGCATATCAGAATTAGATAACACATGACCAGCTAATTTTACTTATTGTAATTCAAGCACATTTGATCATGGAGAAGAGAAAACAGTTTGTATTTACACAAAAAAATATTTATTTTCACTACCCAGGATTTGACTACAGTCATCTTCAGGTAAACTAATTAAAGAAATCTAAGGTAGCTTACCTTAATATGACATTAAGTAATATCCTGGGTTTTAAAAATAAATATTTCTCTGTGTAAACACAAACTGTTTCTACTCTCCACAATGAATTGTTTTCACAAAGTGACAACTGATATTACCAACCACATTCAATCAGTTTGCAGCTGATGTTTGTGATGTACTTACAGTAGAACCTTGTTATTTCAAAACTCAAGGGACCAAAAAAAACATGACATCAGATTATTTAAATTTTTTTTTAATCAAAGTTTTTGTAATTCTCAAATAAAATTATGACATTATCTTATATAAATTTTACCCATTCATTTACAAATGTGTTAATGTTACAAGTTATTACTTAGTAGTAATTAAAGCATACAATTGTAGTGTGGCAACAAGAATGGGAGCATATCCCAGAGCAGCACATTTCCCGGCAGTTCTTCCCAGACGTAGCAAGATGCCTCAGCTTGAAATGGGTCCACCCTCAACACCAGATGTCACAGCTGCTCTCAGAACATGGTAAATTCAATGTATACTTACATCGGTTTCTACACAGCGACACTGACTGCTGTCCAAACTGCGATGTGCGTGATGGAGTAAGGCATTATCTTTTGTCTTGCCCACTGCTGGAGGACATAAGGAACGAGCTCAAACTTTACGTGGAAGAAGATAATCTCAATTGGCCGTGTAAGCTGGAAATTTTAGTGTCGAGTAAAAAGTACTTTTCCCTTTTTCAAAGGATGGTCAAGCTTTACTTTAACAGAACATTAATACATTGATAAACGTTTTTTCTCACTTTTATTTACCGCATGACTCCTGACATCAGAATTTTATATCTACGTGTATTTTGATTTCTTTTCTTTTACGCTCACTGTCGGTTTTCCTGCTCGGCATGTCACCTCTATGTACACACTGTATATATTCATCCCGACTGTGCCTAGCGGTGTCGGGCATAATAAAGTTTATTTTGTCTGTCTGTAATTAAAGCTATTTTGAAAAAACCATCAGTTGGCATTTACTTAATGAAAACAATGAAAATGTAACCAAATTACATTCAAAGCAAGACCTGAAAATAATGCACAAAAGAAGCTTAGCTACTATTACAGATCATCAATGAAAATTAAATATAAAAGATTATTATGAGAATTCTCAGGAAATACAATTTCCCATTCTTGATTCCCAAAGGTTCCAAAATGTTGGAAATTTGGAAACCCTAGCTGAAATAACAAACTTCTTAATGAAAAAATAATATTTTTGTAATGATTACTAGCATTTGTATGACTGTTTTCAAATAATGAGTTGATTAATTGCTTTTTTTTCTTTATCATAGTTTGTTACACTGAAATTTTGTTATAAGTTATGTTCAAAACAGCTTCATTACAACAGGATTTAACCTCTATTATTTTGTTTTAATATTATATTCATTTGGATATAAAAATATAGAATTATTATTATAAGAAAATATTATCTTACACTCATTCCTGATGCTTGTTGATAATCAGGCCAACTGCAAGAAAATAAGATTGGTCTTCCAGTATGATTTAAAGCAGCTGTTACTTGAGGATAAGCTATATATAAAATACATAATTTAAAAATTTTTCAAATTTAAATAAAAAAAGCTAAATATTAAACATTTAGAAATAAAACAAATACAGCAAATCTTCACTTATAATGTCATAATTTCTGAGAACTTAAGTGAAACAATATTTAACCAAAATAATTACACCATAGACTAAATGATATAAATGACGTATAATTTAGTTAATATTATTCTAATTATAGATCATGTTTGGAACTCCAGCATTTATTTTCTATCTCATAGAGTTAATTTTAAGGTTTATAATGAAAATCCAATGACAATAATTGTAAATTACAAATGTATTTCTATCTTTCCTGAATGACATAAAGTTAAGTAAGAACTTGCTGCTCAGTAGAAACTTGGAGTATATTCATAAAGTTAAACAAGTTTAACAAGAATGATATCATCATTATTCTTATCTTCATTATATTTTTTTTATACTTTTTTTATACTAGATATTTTGACCAATTTGTTTACAACAAAATGGCTATTTCTAAAATCAAATTAATGAATGTTACTAATGCAGTCATAACTGAAATATTTTTCTTAAATTGCTTCAGATGGATAGATTTTGTATCATTTCCCATTTTAATCCACAATTTAAACACTCAAGTAGATTTAAAAACATCAATATTGCTGGGTGCTATTTTTTTCACAAAGTAAACAAACTCTTTCCTTCATGAATTTTGTTAGAGTGTTGTTTGAAACATCACCAACTTCGAGCATGTGCACTGAGTGAAATTTGTACTTTATGACAAATTGATTAGTAATGCATTTAACTCATTTGATTACAAAGATACCCATAATTATTCAAACTTGATGAAACCAGGGGTCTTTCAGATAAACAAAATTTTGGATAATCTAGAAACTTGTTTTTGTGTTTTGGTACAACAACAAGCACATCATCAAGACTGAGAAGTTTGTCTGCTATTCAGAGATACAATACATGCTGGTGGCTATACTGTATCAGTATATTTTAACCTGGTCACCATATAGTGACAAATAAGATGGATTATGAAAACACCAAATTTGCATTAGGAATGTGAATATAACGAAAAGTATATGTAGCATATATAATTAAAAAATATATATATATATCATTTATTTTTCAGCTATTAAAATCTCATTTTAATTGAATCTCATTCAAATGTTGAGTTATGAAGGTGATTTGCTATCCATTTCAAGGAGTGGGAAATATATTTGGAATTGTTACATTTATAAACATCATTTATGATCTAATAAAAATCGATACAGGGATTTGTCTTATTTGTAGTTATCAAGTAGGTGTAACTTTTCGAACATTTTTGCTTTTTTCAGACTGATTTATTAAAAAATTACACTTTACCCACCATAAAGCTGTTAAAACAGTTATAACAACAGCATTTGTTTGATGAAAGTTCAAAGGTTGTGTTATGAAAACACTTTGCCAACCACTTCAAAATGTGTGAAGATATTCAGTTTTCTCACATTTATGATCTTAAGTTTCTTTTTTATTACTACTATAATATGGTTCTTGTCAAATAAATGGTTATAGTTTTTTGGTATAATAAGCTTAATTCCAACAGGAAGACAGAAGTTTAATAACATTAATATGTATAACGATAAATGGTCATTGACAACTTAACTAGATTTAACTTCTGTAACAGATAAAGAATATTGTTCAACTTCTTATAACATGCCCTCTTCCCCTATTCCTATTTTAAGCCTGTCTTTATTTGGTTATGGCCAACTTGGCCTATGTAGCCCTTGTGCAATAAAACACCAACCAACCAACCTTTATTTGGTGCTTATGGTCAAAATTCATCATCTGAAAGAGTATTTGAACCGATTCTTTGTTTTTGTTCTAAAATTTTCGTACATAATTTTTTCAGAATATTGAAGGCAGGTCATTGCATTTTCATAAAGTTGGTTATGGACAATGGTGTCCATTATTTAGAGTGTTTGCTATTTAGAGGTAAATATAATAGATGTCCTATTTGAAGGGTCTGGGTAAAATGTCCATTAAGTAGAGGTGTCTGCTATTTGGGAGTGTCCATTAATGGAGGTTTCACTGTATTTGCGTTTTTCATAAAAACTTCATTCATGCAAATTTATAATTCTAAACAAAGAATTAAAATTACATACTTTTATCCATACTTTTTGGATCAGCATAACAACCATCTAATTTTAACATATCTACTCCCCATTTTGCAAATGTTTGAGCATCAATATCAAAATGGCCTGCACTTCCTGGATACCCTCCACATGTCTCTGTGCCAATATCTTCATAAATTCCAAGTTTTAATCCTTTAGAATGAACCTATATAAAAAATATAAAAGATTCATCTTTCTGAGTTTTAAGTTTTAAATCAATGTTTTTTAATAAACATAAAATACCTAAAAAGAGTTTTAAAAATGTATATGAAAATAAATATTCAGAATAAAAAACCTTTTTAGTTTATTTTGTTTCCTGAAAGGAATTTTAAAAATAAATATTGTTTTTATTTATTTTTGAAAATTTATTTATTCAGTTTATTAAAATAAACTGAAAATTTTGTTCTTATTACATGAAATTTAAAATATTCATTACTTAGGATGCAATCCTCACATAATTTCAAAATTCACTGCATTGTGGTATAAAATTAATATTTATTGTTTTGTTATTATACAGTAAACTCTACTTATTATAATCATTGATATTGTTATTGGTCATTTAACAATACTATATTAGCTGTTGTTAAAATTAGCAGATAAACAATACTGAATAAATTATACCTTTTTAAATTATACAATGTTAATAAATCAAAAACAATTTTTTTAGTATTACTTTAATGACTCAGAGAAATTAACACTTTCAGTAAAAAAGTTACCATTGTCAGGCAAAAAAAAAAAAACACAACAAGGATTAAGTATAAAAATTTATAAAATAGTATACAGTATATGCTGCTTATTGTAAATATTTTAGGATTTGCCTAAACTGTTAAAAATACACCATTTAATGTTATCAGTTGGTTACTATTATCAGTTCAGGCAAATCCCACAAGTTTGGCTTTTAAAAAAAAAAAAAACAAAGATTATTTTGTTTGTGCTCAATTAAAAAAGTCAATGAAAATAAATGTAAACAACTGTAAATAAGTACAGGAAATCCTCATTAGCTTGAAATTCAGGGAACAAAATAATCATGACTTTGAATTATTGAATTTTGAATTATCCAAGATTTACATATTTATGTATATGCCAAATGCCACATAACTGATGTAATTTATTAAGCAAATGGAATATGGCTACCTATACAAAATGTTATTTTTATTATTTAATAATAACATAAAGAAACAGCACGTTTCCAGTGAGAACTTTGCAAGTTGCCAGATAGGTTTCATAAAAGTAAAACCAAATTCCTCGAAATGTAGCCCAAATTATTTTTAAAGTGGCCCAAAAAGTAGTAAGTCATTCAAATCTAATAGCCTAGAGCCCTAAAAATATATCAATTTGCTACTTGTAGCCCAATCTTGCAATTCCAAAAACCAACCATGTTTTATGAAATAAGAGAAAAAAAAATATTCCATGGGTAACACCCAAAAATGTGTTTCTGTAAAAGCAAAGACATATTCTCCTGATTAAAGTTGTTCTTGGTCTATTGTTCTCTTATAGCATGGAGGTACTTCAATGTAAACAAATCAGTTAACATACAAAGTAGCTGTATTTCGAACAAACCGAATTCCTTAATGTATAAATCTCTACATCTCTTCCTGGAACAAAAGTACAGTTACAAACTAATGGGATTGTGAACTATCTGAATTTGAATTAATGAGGATTTCCTGTATCTATATTATTTCTGTTTTCAAAAATGATATAGATACTTATTTAGAAAAAATAATTATATATAGTTTTTACAAAGTTTATCAATATAAAACTTTCAAAGAAATATGACTACAATGTAGCCATAATGCATAAACAACAGTAATCAATATTTTGAGAAATTTTATAAAGAAATTTGGGATATTTTGTTAAATGCAATCATTGTATCTAAAAATCTTAATAATCCACAATAGTTTTCATAAAGATGTTTAATACATTTAAAAAAAGTTTAACTTACATAATCAGCAAGAGCTTGGATTCCATGAGGAAATCGATCAGGATCAGCTACTAATTGAGAATTAGCATCTCGTTCCTTACTCATCCAACAATCATCAATATTAACATATTCATAACCAGCTTCTTTAAAGCCATCTGATGCAAGACGGTCAGCCATTTCCATATACAATGATTCACTAAAATTACACTTATATTTTTTAAAATATTCAAGTTTAAAAAAATATAATTAAAATTAATTATTATTGAATAGAAATAAGAGAAAAATGTTCTAAATTAGCAAATAAACAATATATATTAAAAAATTAAAATACATGTTTATTCTTAAAAACTAAAAGCTATACAAACAAATTATTTAACATTAAAATGAATCCAAACAAAAATCTTTTAGGATTCAATTTCCCAATCAACTAAGCTAATAAAATAATAAGGTAAGTAGCTAGGTAAGATATGGCTACTAAAATTAGTAAGGTAGCAGAACAACTACCTCATAACTGTTAGTATTAACTATCATTAGCATAAACATTTAATTTAGTTAACTTTAACATCTGTCTTTTTAACTTTAATATTCTAAAAAATTGAATTTTATCATGCAATAATTGAATGCATCTTAAATATAATCAGTTACTGAATTTTGTTATACTTACTCAGTTATAGAATGATTTAAAATTACATAGTCAGTTTATATAATTTAAATTTAAAAATTAATTTTTTCTTAATTACTGAAATTGTAAAACAAATAAATAAAATTAATTACTAGTGAAATAGTGAAATTGATTTTTAATCTTTTATTTTCATAACTTATACAAAATTTGACCTTAATATACTTAACAAGTGAATAATAGTGATTTTATATATTAAATATACGAATTTATAATATTAATTAGAATCTCTTAATATTTATCTAATCACATACTTATTGCTATTATTTACTCAATTTATTAAGTATTTATAATTATATATATAATATTTCTTGCATATCTTGGATATTTCAACTTTTTGACAGATAAAACAATCATAAATGTTAAAGTGGTTACACTGTTTTTATTTCTTTGTTTTTGTTCTTTTCCTTGTGGATACTAAGAGGATCCTGTTCTCCCATACTCATCACAGGTTCAGCCAAATTCACAATGGGGCAATGGATGATGGATGGAGCCCAACATATCTGAAAATACCATTCATAAAAAAACTGTTGGGTTGGCTCATCCAGATTGATCCCAGATTACCAGAGCAATAAGCTGACACTTAACCATCACAGTCACTCAAACATAAATTACACTATGTTAATTGCTCAGTGAAAACAATAATACTAATATAAAATAACAATAACATTATGCTAAAATCCAAAATTAAAACTGGAAGAGATAACTTGTAAAATGAGAATCATTCACCTTTTCCAGCAAGAGGGTTTATGGGAAAGAATTTTGGAAGTTTGTAGGTTTAAACTTGAGGCAGGTTTATAAAATAAACCAAAAATGTTGTTCCGTAAACCATTTTGCTGGAAAAGTGTGAATGGTTTTCATTTTACAAACAATAACATCCTAAAATTTGATTAACATCTCTTATTAATAAATGTAAAAATACTTAGTAAGCAATCAATTATTACATCATTGACAATTGTCTTTTAATTAACATATCAATTATGATAAAATAACAAACTTTTGAGCTATTGAACAATGGATTACAAAAAAGTACTTTACATTTTATATTATACAGACTGTGATTATACTTCACTAATAAAACTTAATTTTACTTAGTAAACTTAAACGTTTTACCTGATGCAGTTATAAGGATCTTCTTTACAATCAACATTACAAAGAAATCGTGCCCAAGATAACCATCCCATTGGGGGTGTTATAGCTAAACCATTATTTAAGCATCCAATAAAAGGAATAATGCAAAGGATAGCAATGGAAATTTGAAATAGCCAAATCATATTTCTTAATCTGAAATAAAAATTCAAATAATAAATATTATGAAACTATCCAAATTACAAACTAAATCTTCTACCATAAGCTGGGGTTTTTATAAATTATCTATAAAAAAACACACTTTTTCATACATTTCCAGTAGGATACTTCTTTGTAGTTCTAACAAACATTTTTGGCTTGATTTACAGGCCTTCTTCAGGTTAGAAGCCGTTCCAATTAGAAGTTATGCTGCTAATAAATTGAGTAACTATAAAACAACATAACTCCTAATTGGAATGGCATCTAACCCAAAGAAAGCCTGTAAATCAAGCCAAAAATATTTGTTAGAACTATAAAGAAGTATCCTACTGGAGATATATGAAAAAATGTGTTTTTTATATATTATCCAAATTACTTTTCTTATTAAAATCTATATTTCATTATAGTTCAATATCAAAGTTTTAATTAACATTTATGAGATTTTAAAAATATTTCTTTAAATGTAATTAATATTAACTTAAAATTCTAAGAAATTCATATCCAAATAATTATCATAATTAGTAAGATAATAGAAAATATTAATTAAAGCATATAATATGCAGCTATTGCGTGATATATTTATGTCACACAATATTTATGAAAATGGACATTGTGAATTCAATACAAAGGAGGAACTAACAATGCCATACAGACTTTATGGGAGAACTTGGATAAAAGTTTTAAAATCCCTTGTAGCATCCATGATGGACAGATTATTGCAAGTGCTACTTAAGGAAGGTGTAGTAATTGATTTTTAATGCTGTAAGGAGTCAAAGTCTGATTGTTATTTTATGTTTTGGGCATTATTTTTAGTTGTTGTCATTTTCTTTTTGGTATTTTCTGTTGATGTTTTTATGTTTTAAGGATGGAAACTCCCAAGAAATCCTCAAAATATACTAAATTCAAAATTAAGATCAATGAATATTTATTTACATAAGTGACTGATCCCATAATGCATCAATATGTAAATAGGGTAGTGTGGAATTACACTTGTAAGCAGATAAAAAAATGACACATCCATTCAACTGTGTGGTATAGCTCCCAAAAGCAACTTTCCTTGAATTGAATTGTCTGGCATTCTTTTTGGTGAAGCAGTTAAGTCATAAGAGGTATATTTCTTGCTTTTGAACTTTATTTGGAAATTTAGTTAATTGTACGTCCCACACTGGGAAAAAGAATTTCTCTTATTGATTGATTGTATTTTTTTGTTTGTACATAATTGATCTTGACTTGTTTTGAATATTTGAAATATATATTTATTACTAACTATTTGTTTATCATTGTTNCACTGGATTGGTCACCATGGACTCAATGACAGGGCTTATCTCATGTGGCCTCCAAGATTACTCAATTTCACCCCCTGCAATTTTTTTCTTTGGGGTTTTGTAAAGGACTGAGTCTACGTGCCCCCACTGCCTACTAATCTGCCCGAGTTGAGACACAGGATTGAGAAGCTGTTGCTACTATCACTCAAGAAATGCTGGTTAAGGTATGGGAGGAATTAGCCTACAGATTGGATGTGTCACGTGAAAAACAAAGCTCATATTGAACACTTATAAAGTAAACTAGAGATGTTACTCTTTTTTTTCACATTTGGTTTGTTATTCTTTGTTACATTTAAAGTGCAATTAAACACCTTTAAAGCTGCTATATTCTTTTATGTACACCGTGCACATTACAGAAGGCAATTTATCAAAAATCTATTGCTAAAATTAGTGTCAGAAGAAAATAAAATATTAAAGAAACAAGTAACATGGTTGTTATGCATAATGATCAATAATAAAATGTTAGAAGGCCTCAATCCTTACAAACAATGGTCTCAAATTACAAACAACTGCAATATATAATTATAATGGAAGTAAAATGTGAAATGAAATTCTGTAGTTACTACCATAGAAGTTCAAGACACAGTTAATTAGTGGTATGGTGCTTATATAAAAGCACAGTTTAACTGCAAGCAAATTAGAAGACTAAGAAATTATTGAAAATGTATATTTATGTTTGTCTCCTGTAGAAATAACATTTACAAGTGATGAGGAAAAACAAATCAACTGATGAGAGTATTTCACTTCCAAAAGCTTTAAACAGTCTGAAAAAATTCACAAATATTGTCCTTTTTTTGGTGTCCTAGAAAATATCTTTAGCAGTTAAACAATGTAGATTATTACTTTTAATAATGTTAGTAAAAAATATGATACAGATGAAATTAGGATTTCTAGTTTGAATTCCTTCCTGCCTGTTCTTGAGAGTTTTTTCATTTTCCTGTTCCTGAATCCCAAGAAAAGTTGGTCAGAAAAGTGGGAAATTTGGTTCCTAGAACCTGGTAATATCCACAATAGGAAATAAATGTATTACTCACAATGTATCTTTTAGACATTTTTCCTATTTATCATTATGTAAACTTACACTGTGTTACAATATTACCTGTCTCCAGAAATGCTTGCATATCAGAATTAGATAACACATGACCAGCTAATTTTACTTATTGTAATTCAAGCACATTTGATCATGGAGAAGAGAAAACAGTTTGTATTTACACAAAAAAATATTTATTTTCACTACCCAGGATTTGACTACAGTCATCTTCAGGTAAACTAATTAAAGAAATCTAAGGTAGCTTACCTTAATATGACATTAAGTAATATCCTGGGTTTTAAAAATAAATATTTCTCTGTGTAAACACAAACTGTTTCTACTCTCCACAATGAATTGTTTTCACAAAGTGACAACTGATATTACCAACCACATTCAATCAGTTTGCAGCTGATGTTTGTGATGTACTTACAGTAGAACCTTGTTATTTCAAAACTCAAGGGACCAAAAAAAACATGACATCAGATTATTTAAATTTTTTTTTAATCAAAGTTTTTGTAATTCTCAAATAAAATTATGACATTATCTTATATAAATTTTACCCATTCATTTACAAATGTGTTAATGTTACAAGTTATTACTTAGTAGTAATTAAAGCATACAATTGTAGTGTGGCAACAAGAATGGGAGCATATCCCAGAGCAGCACATTTCCCGGCAGTTCTTCCCAGACGTAGCAAGACCCCTCAGCTTGAAATGGGTCCACCCTCAACACCAGATGTCACAGCTGCTCTCAGAACATGGTAAATTCAATGTATACTTACATCGGTTTCTACACAGCGACACTGACTGCTGTCCAAACTGCGATGTGCGTAATGGAGTAAGGCATTATCTTTTGTCTTGCCCACTGCTGGAGGACATAAGGAACGAGCTCAAACTTTACGTGGAAAAAGATAATCTCAATTGGCCGTGTAAGCTGGAAATTTTAGTGTCGAGTAAAAAGTACTTTTCCCTTTTTCAAAGGATGGTCAAGCTTTACTTTAACAGAACATTAATACATTGATAAACGTTTTTTCTCACTTTTATTTACCGCATGACTCCTGACATCAGAATTTTATATCTACGTGTATTTTGATTTCTTTTCTTTTACGCTCACTGTCGGTTTTCCTGCTCGGCATGTCACCTCTATGTACACACTGTATATATTCATCCCGACTGTGCCTAGCGGTGTCGGGCATAATAAAGTTTATTTTGTCTGTCTGTAATTAAAGCTATTTTGAAAAAACCATCAGTTGGCATTTACTTAATGAAAACAATGAAAATGTAACCAAATTACATTCAAAGCAAGACCTGAAAATAATGCACAAAAGAAGCTTAGCTACTATTACAGATCATCAATGAAAATTAAATATAAAAGATTATTATGAGAATTCTCAGGAAATACAATTTCCCATTCTTGATTCCCAAAGGTTCCAAAATGTTGGAAATTTGGAAACCCTAGCTGAAATAACAAACTTCTTAATGAAAAAATAATATTTTTGTAATGATTACTAGCATTTGTATGACTGTTTTCAAATAATGAGTTGATTAATTGCTTTTTTTTCTTTATCATAGTTTGTTACACTGAAATTTTGTTATAAGTTATGTTCAAAACAGCTTCATTACAACAGGATTTAACCTCTATTATTTTGTTTTAATATTATATTCATTTGGATATAAAAATATAGAATTATTATTATAAGAAAATATTATCTTACACTCATTCCTGATGCTTGTTGATAATCAGGCCAACTGCAAGAAAATAAGATTGGTCTTCCAGTATGATTTAAAGCAGCTGTTACTTGAGGATAAGCTATATATAAAATACATAATTTAAAAATTTTTCAAATTTAAATAAAAAAAGCTAAATATTAAACGTTTAGAAATAAAACAAATACAGCAAATCTTCACTTATAATGTCATAATTTCTGAGAACTTAAGTGAAACAATATTTAACCAAAATAATTACACCATAGACTAAATGATATAAATGACGTATAATTTAGTTAATATTATTCTAATTATAGATCATGTTTGGAACTCCAGCATTTATTTTCTATCTCATAGAGTTAATTTTAAGGTTTATAATGAAAATCCAATGACAATAATTGTAAATTACAAATGTATTTCTATCTTTCCTGAATGACATAAAGTTAAGTAAGAACTTGCTGCTCAGTAGAAACTTGGAGTATATTCATAAAGTTAAACAAGTTTAACAAGAATGATATCATCATTATTCTTATCTTCATTATATTTTTTTTATACTTTTTTTATACTAGATATTTTGACCAATTTGTTTACAACAAAATGGCTATTTCTAAAATCAAATTAATGAATGTTACTAATGCAGTCATAACTGAAATATTTTTCTTAAATTGCTTCAGATGGATAGATTTTGTATCATTTCCCATTTTAATCCACAATTTAAACACTCAAGTAGATTTAAAAACATCAATATTGCTGGGTGCTATTTTTTTCACAAAGTAAACAAACTCTTTCCTTCATGAATTTTGTTAGAGTGTTGTTTGAAACATCACCAACTTCGAGCATGTGCACTGAGTGAAATTTGTACTTTATGACAAATTGATTAGTAATGCATTTAACTCATTTGATTACAAAGATACCCATAATTATTCAAACTTGATGAAACCAGGGGTCTTTCAGATAAACAAAATTTTGGATAATCTAGAAACTTGTTTTTGTGTTTTGGTACAACAACAAGCACATCATCAAGACTGAGAAGTTTGTCTGCTATTCAGAGATACAATACATGCTGGTGGCTATACTGTATCAGTATATTTTAACCTGGTCACCATATAGTGACAAATAAGATGGATTATGAAAACACCAAATTTGCATTAGGAATGTGAATATAACAAAAAGTATATGTAGCATATATAATTAAAAAATATATATATATATCATTTATTTTTCAGCTATTAAAATCTCATTTTAATTGAATCTCATTCAAATGTTGAGTTATGAAGGTGATTTGCTATCCATTTCAAGGAGTGGGAAATATATTTGGAATTGTTACATTTATAAACATCATTTATGATCTAATAAAAATCGATACAGGGATTTGTCTTATTTGTAGTTATCAAGTAGGTGTAACTTTTCGAACATTTTTGCTTTTTTCAGACTGATTTATTAAAAAATTACACTTTACCCACCATAAAGCTGTTAAAACAGTTATAACAACAGCATTTGTTTGATGAAAGTTCAAAGGTTGTGTTATGAAAACACTTTGCCAACCACTTCAAAATGTGTGAAGATATTCAGTTTTCTCACATTTATGATCTTAAGTTTCTTTTTTATTACTACTATAATATGGTTCTTGTCAAATAAATGGTTATAGTTTTTTGGTATAATAAGCTTAATTCCAACAGGAAGACAGAAGTTTAATAACATTAATATGTATAACGATAAATGGTCATTGACAACTTAACTAGATTTAACTTCTGTAACAGATAAAGAATATTGTTCAACTTCTTATAACATGCCCTCTTCCCCTATTCCTATTTTAAGCCTGTCTTTATTTGGTTATGGCCAACTTGGCCTATGTAGCCCTTGTGCAATAAAACACCAACCAACCAACCTTTATTTGGTGCTTATGGTCAAAATTCATCATCTGAAAGAGTATTTGAACCGATTCTTTGTTTTTGTTCTAAAATTTTCGTACATAATTTTTTCAGAATATTGAAGGCAGGTCATTGCATTTTCATAAAGTTGGTTATGGACAATGGTGTCCATTATTTAGAGTGTTTGCTATTTAGAGGTAAATATAATAGATGTCCTATTTGAAGGGTCTGGGTAAAATGTCCATTAAGTAGAGGTGTCTGCTATTTGGGAGTGTCCATTAATGGAGGTTTCACTGTATTTGCGTTTTTCATAAAAACTTCATTCATGCAAATTTATAATTCTAAACAAAGAATTAAAATTACATACTTTTATCCATACTTTTTGGATCAGCATAACAACCATCTAATTTTAACATATCTACTCCCCATTTTGCAAATGTTTGAGCATCAATATCAAAATGGCCTGCACTTCCTGGATACCCTCCACATGTCTCTGTGCCAATATCTTCATAAATTCCAAGTTTTAATCCTTTAGAATGAACCTATATAAAAAATATAAAAGATTCATCTTTCTGAGTTTTAAGTTTTAAATCAATGTTTTTTAATAAACATAAAATACCTAAAAAGAGTTTTAAAAATGTATATGAAAATAAATATTCAGAATAAAAAACCTTTTTAGTTTATTTTGTTTCCTGAAAGGAATTTTAAAAATAAATATTGTTTTTATTTATTTTTGAAAATTTATTTATTCAGTTTATTAAAATAAACTGAAAATTTTGTTCTTATTACATGAAATTTAAAATATTCATTACTTAGGATGCAATCCTCACATAATTTCAAAATTCACTGCATTGTGGTATAAAATTAATATTTATTGTTTTGTTATTATACAGTAAACTCTACTTATTATAATCATTGATATTGTTATTGGTCATTTAACAATACTATATTAGCTGTTGTTAAAATTAGCAGATAAACAATACTGAATAAATTATACCTTTTTAAATTATACAATGTTAATAAATCAAAAACAATTTTTTTAGTATTACTTTAATGACTCAGAGAAATTAACACTTTCAGTAAAAAAGTTACCATTGTCAGGCAAAAAAAAAAAAACACAACAAGGATTAAGTATAAAAATTTATAAAATAGTATACAGTATATGCTGCTTATTGTAAATATTTTAGGATTTGCCTAAACTGTTAAAAATACACCATTTAATGTTATCAGTTGGTTACTATTATCAGTTCAGGCAAATCCCACAAGTTTGGCTTTTAAAAAAAAAAAAAACAAAGATTATTTTGTTTGTGCTCAATTAAAAAAGTCAATGAAAATAAATGTAAACAACTGTAAATAAGTACAGGAAATCCTCATTAGCTTGAAATTCAGGGAACAAAATAATCATGACTTTGAATTATTGAATTTTGAATTATCCAAGATTTACATATTTATGTATATGCCAAATGCCACATAACTGATGTAATTTATTAAGCAAATGGAATATGGCTACCTATACAAAATGTTATTTTTATTATTTAATAATAACATAAAGAAACAGCACGTTTCCAGTGAGAACTTTGCAAGTTGCCAGATAGGTTTCATAAAAGTAAAACCAAATTCCTCGAAATGTAGCCCAAATTATTTTTAAAGTGGCCCAAAAAGTAGTAAGTCATTCAAATCTAATAGCCTAGAGCCCTAAAAATATATCAATTTGCTACTTGTAGCCCAATCTTGCAATTCCAAAAACCAACCATGTTTTATGAAATAAGAGAAAAAAAAATATTCCATGGGTAACACCCAAAAATGTGTTTCTGTAAAAGCAAAGACATATTCTCCTGATTAAAGTTGTTCTTGGTCTATTGTTCTCTTATAGCATGGAGGTACTTCAATGTAAACAAATCAGTTAACATACAAAGTAGCTGTATTTCGAACAAACCGAATTCCTTAATGTATAAATCTCTACATCTCTTCCTGGAACAAAAGTACAGTTACAAACTAATGGGATTGTGAACTATCTGAATTTGAATTAATGAGGATTTCCTGTATCTATATTATTTCTGTTTTCAAAAATGATATAGATACTTATTTAGAAAAAATAATTATATATAGTTTTTACAAAGTTTATCAATATAAAACTTTCAAAGAAATATGACTACAATGTAGCCATAATGCATAAACAACAGTAATCAATATTTTGAGAAATTTTATAAAGAAATTTGGGATATTTTGTTAAATGCAATCATTGTATCTAAAAATCTTAATAATCCACAATAGTTTTCATAAAGATGTTTAATACATTTAAAAAAAGTTTAACTTACATAATCAGCAAGAGCTTGGATTCCATGAGGAAATCGATCAGGATCAGCTACTAATTGAGAATTAGCATCTCGTTCCTTACTCATCCAACAATCATCAATATTAACATATTCATAACCAGCTTCTTTAAAGCCATCTGATGCAAGACGGTCAGCCATTTCCATATACAATGATTCACTAAAATTACACTTATATTTTTTAAAATATTCAAGTTTAAAAAAATATAATTAAAATTAATTATTATTGAATAGAAATAAGAGAAAAATGTTCTAAATTAGCAAATAAACAATATATATTAAAAAATTAAAATACATGTTTATTCTTAAAAACTAAAAGCTATACAAACAAATTATTTAACATTAAAATGAATCCAAACAAAAATCTTTTAGGATTCAATTTCCCAATCAACTAAGCTAATAAAATAATAAGGTAAGTAGCTAGGTAAGATATGGCTACTAAAATTAGTAAGGTAGCAGAACAACTACCTCATAACTGTTAGTATTAACTATCATTAGCATAAACATTTAATTTAGTTAACTTTAACATCTGTCTTTTTAACTTTAATATTCTAAAAAATTGAATTTTATCATGCAATAATTGAATGCATCTTAAATATAATCAGTTACTGAATTTTGTTATACTTACTCAGTTATAGAATGATTTAAAATTACATAGTCAGTTTATATAATTTAAATTTAAAAATTAATTTTTTCTTAATTACTGAAATTGTAAAACAAATAAATAAAATTAATTACTAGTGAAATAGTGAAATTGATTTTTAATCTTTTATTTTCATAACTTATACAAAATTTGACCTTAATATACTTAACAAGTGAATAATAGTGATTTTATATATTAAATATACGAATTTATAATATTAATTAGAATCTCTTAATATTTATCTAATCACATACTTATTGCTATTATTTACTCAATTTATTAAGTATTTATAATTATATATATAATATTTCTTGCATATCTTGGATATTTCAACTTTTTGACAGATAAAACAATCATAAATGTTAAAGTGGTTACACTGTTTTTATTTCTTTGTTTTTGTTCTTTTCCTTGTGGATACTAAGAGGATCCTGTTCTCCCATACTCATCACAGGTTCAGCCAAATTCACAATGGGGCAATGGATGATGGATGGAGCCCAACATATCTGAAAATACCATTCATAAAAAAACTGTTGGGTTGGCTCATCCAGATTGATCCCAGATTACCAGAGCAATAAGCTGACACTTAACCATCACAGTCACTCAAACATAAATTACACTATGTTAATTGCTCAGTGAAAACAATAATACTAATATAAAATAACAATAACATTATGCTAAAATCCAAAATTAAAACTGGAAGAGATAACTTGTAAAATGAGAATCATTCACCTTTTCCAGCAAGAGGGTTTATGGGAAAGAATTTTGGAAGTTTGTAGGTTTAAACTTGAGGCAGGTTTATAAAAATAAACCAAAAATGTTGTTCCGTAAACCATTTTGCTGGAAAAGTGTGAATGGTTTTCATTTTACAAACAATAACATCCTAAAATTTGATTAACATCTCTTATTAATAAATGTAAAAATACTTAGTAAGCAATCAATTATTACATCATTGACAATTGTCTTTTAATTAACATATCAATTATGATAAAATAACAAACTTTTGAGCTATTGAACAATGGATTACAAAAAAGTACTTTACATTTTATATTATACAGACTGTGATTATACTTCACTAATAAAACTTAATTTTACTTAGTAAACTTAAACGTTTTACCTGATGCAGTTATAAGGATCTTCTTTACAATCAACATTACAAAGAAATCGTGCCCAAGATAACCATCCCATTGGGGGTGTTATAGCTAAACCATTATTTAAGCATCCAATAAAAGGAATAATGCAAAGGATAGCAATGGAAATTTGAAATAGCCAAATCATATTTCTTAATCTGAAATAAAAATTCAAATAATAAATATTATGAAACTATCCAAATTACAAACTAAATCTTCTACCATAAGCTGGGGTTTTTATAAATTATCTATAAAAAAACACACTTTTTCATACATTTCCAGTAGGATACTTCTTTGTAGTTCTAACAAACATTTTTGGCTTGATTTACAGGCCTTCTTCAGGTTAGAAGCCGTTCCAATTAGAAGTTATGCTGCTAATAAATTGAGTAACTATAAAACAACATAACTCCTAATTGGAATGGCATCTAACCCAAAGAAAGCCTGTAAATCAAGCCAAAAATATTTGTTAGAACTATAAAGAAGTATCCTACTGGAGATATATGAAAAAATGTGTTTTTTATATATTATCCAAATTACTTTTCTTATTAAAATCTATATTTCATTATAGTTCAATATCAAAGTTTTAATTAACATTTATGAGATTTTAAAAATATTTCTTTAAATGTAATTAATATTAACTTAAAATTCTAAGAAATTCATATCCAAATAATTATCATAATTAGTAAGATAATAGAAAATATTAATTAAAGCATATAATATGCAGCTATTGCGTGATATATTTATGTCACACAATATTTATGAAAATGGACATTGTGAATTCAATACAAAGGAGGAACTAACAATGCCATACAGACTTTATGGGAGAACTTGGATAAAAGTTTTAAAATCCCTTGTAGCATCCATGATGGACAGATTATTGCAAGTGCTACTTAAGGAAGGTGTAGTAATTGATTTTTAATGCTGTAAGGAGTCAAAGTCTGATTGTTATTTTATGTTTTGGGCATTATTTTTAGTTGTTGTCATTTTCTTTTTGGTATTTTCTGTTGATGTTTTTATGTTTTAAGGATGGAAACTCCCAAGAAATCCTCAAAATATACTAAATTCAAAATTAAGATCAATGAATATTTATTTACATAAGTGACTGATCCCATAATGCATCAATATGTAAATAGGGTAGTGTGGAATTACACTTGTAAGCAGATAAAAAAATGACACATCCATTCAACTGTGTGGTATAGCTCCCAAAAGCAATTTTCCTTGAATTGAATTGTCTGGCATTCTTTTTGGTGAAGCAGTTAAGTCATAAGAGGTATATTTCTTGCTTTTGAACTTTATTTGGAAATTTAGTTAATTGTACGTCCCACACTGGGAAAAAGAATTTCTCTTATTGATTGATTGTATTTTTTTGTTTGTACATAATTGATCTTGACTTGTTTTGAATATTTGAAATATATATTTATTACTAACTATTTGTTTATCATTGTTGTTTATTTATATATATTACTGTTCAACCTAATAAATATTATTGTGGATTTTTGCTTATATAAGTGTCATTTTTCAATCATTGCATTTTGCTTTCCTGTTAAATCCATTTCTTTCAAATATATATATATAGTATATATAAAACAGAAAACACAAATTTCATAAATTAGCTTCACATAAAATTCATAATGGAACATTTAATGAGAATTTTTGCTTGTTACATAGAACAGATTTATATTTGTTCTATGTAATCAAATTTTGTTCTTTTTTTTAAACATTCTGTTAAAGCTTGAGTGTAACAAGCAAAAGTATTCATCAAATGTTTTATTTTGAATTTGATAAACATATGAAAACTAATTTGTGAAACTTACACAACCCTGACGAGTTTCAGCACCAATATGCCATCATGGGTGTCTGCAGGAAATTTTCCAAGAGGTACAGCTTGGAGAAAAGTAATTATATTAATAAATTTTTATTTAATTTTTGGGGTGTTTTTTACAAGTAGATTATAGAATACAGTATTGCATCAATACAGAAAGATAGACAAAGTGTCCCATAGTTGAGGATGTAAAGTTACATATCTCAATCCCTTTTACAATTATAATTTGTGGAATTTTTTACTTGATCCCAGGGAGGGGCAAGTGCTTCACCTGCCCCTTCTGCAGATGCCCATTCTTACTGTACATATAACACAAATTAACACCAGGCAAAACATTTTGAATTTTACAAATTATTTGTAAAATTCAAAGAAACAATAACTGATTGTGAATACCATTATTTCCCCTTCCAAAAATTGTTGTTATTGTATCTATATATATATAGATACAATAACAACAATTTTTGGAAGGGGAAATAATGGTATTCACAATCAGTTATTGTTTCTTTGAATTTTACAAATAATTTGTAAAATTCAAAATGTTTTGCCTGGTGTTAATTTGTGTTATATGTACAGTAAGAATGGGCATCTGCAGAAGGGGCAGGTGAAGCACTTGCCCCTCCCTGGGATCAAGTAAAAAATTCCACAAATTATAATTGTAAAAGGGATTGAGATATGTAACTTTACATCCTCAACTATGGGACACTTTGTCTATCTTTCTGTATTGATGCAATACTGTATTCTATAATCTACTTGTAAAAAACACCCCAAAAATTAAATAAAAATTTATTAATATAATTACTTTTCTCCAAGCTGTACCTCTTGGAAAATTTCCTGCAGACACCCATGATGGCATATTGGTGCTGAAACTCGTCAGGGCTGTGTAAGTTTCACAAATTAGTTTTCATATGTTTATCAAATTCAAAATAAAACATTTGATGAATACTTTTGCTTGTTACACTCAAGCTTTAACAGAATGTTTAAAAAAAAGAACAAAATTTGATTACATAGAACAAATATAAATCTGTTCTATGTAACAAGCAAAAATTCTCATTAAATGTTCCATTATGAATTTTATGTGAAGCTAATTTATGAAATTTGTGTTTTCTGTTTTATATATACTATATATATATATTTGAAAGAAATGGATTTAACAGGAAAGCAAAATGCAATGATTGAAAAATGACACTTATATAAGCAAAAATCCACAATAATATTTATTAGGTTGAACAGTAATATATATAAATAAACAACAATGATAAACAAATAGTTAGTAATAAATATATATTTCAAATATTCAAAACAAGTCAAGATCAATTATGTACAAACAAAAAAATACAATCAATCAATAAGAGAAATTCTTTTTCCCAGTGTGGGACGTACAATTAACTAAATTTCCAAATAAAGTTCAAAAGCAAGAAATATACCTCTTATGACTTAACTGCTTCACCAAAAAGAATGCCAGACAATTCAATTCAAGGAAAGTTGCTTTTGGGAGCTATACCACACAGTTGAATGGATGTGTCATTTTTTTATCTGCTTACAAGTGTAATTCCACACTACCCTATTTACATATTGATGCATTATGGGATCAGTCACTTATGTAAATAAATATTCATTGATCTTAATTTTGAATTTAGTATATTTTGAGGATTTCTTGGGAGTTTCCATCCTTAAAACATAAAAACATCAACAGAAAATACCAAAAAGAAAATGACAACAACTAAAAATAATGCCCAAAACATAAAATAACAATCAGACTTTGACTCCTTACAGCATTAAAAATCAATTACTACACCTTCCTTAAGTAGCACTTGCAATAATCTGTCCATCATGGATGCTACAAGGGATTTTNTTTATTTGTGAATTATTATTTACATTAACTGTAATGATTTTAGTTTAATCACTTTATTCTAATCTTTTGCTAGTAATTTATTCACTTTAATTAATTAGTTAGAAATTTTATTGTATTTTTAAGCTCTATGTATAATTTATATCCTTTTTTTCCCTTTAAACCCACATCGCAAAGATAACGAGATTGTTTATATATGGACCAAAGTTGTAAGAGGAAATTTGCCTATTTTTCTGATTTTAGGGACTTCACTATAGAAATTTCTAATAATATCAACTTGGAATAATTTAGAGAAACAAATTAGAATAAGAAGTTTATTAATTAGCAGCAATAAATCTCACAACATGCAAGGAAAAGATGACAGGGCACTTAAGTAATTAAATTAATTTGTAAAAAAATAAAACTTTTCCCTCCCTGCTGATCATAGCGGTGATCAAACACTGTTCCAAGGCACGAGAAGTACAATGCTTATCCACGAATGTCATCACTATCAGTGATGACATTTGCGGATAAGCATTGTACTTCTCCTGCCTTGTCATCCTTGTACTCCGCGAATGTCATCACTGATAGTGATGACATTCGCAAAGTTCGGTGTTATCACCATCTAAAGTCAAGGAAGAGTTAAAATGGTTTTGCTATAGTAATGACTCAGCTTCGAAAGTCAAACCAATAATAATAGTAAATCATATGATGACTCTCCTGTGCTGAAAGGTGTATAAAACAGGCCCAAATCCAGGCATCAGAGAGCTCCTCGGCAGACAACAGTAGAAAGCACCAGCCTTGCCAGACTGCCAACAAACCATCCCATACAAGGAAGGCATCAACGGCAAACATCATCAGCGGACATCAACAGTATACATAAGTGGACCCATCCTGCCATAATCGCAAGGAAATTTCGACTAGAATTGAATGCCATTTACTGGCGGACATCAGTGAAGGACCTAGTGAAGGACCAAGCAAAAGGGAAGAAGGAACTAGATCAAGAGACTGACCAGAGACCATGAGAAGACGGCTCTCTTTTTCCTGGTATGTTGTAGTTCAGATACACCCCTGTTAGGCAGCCCCATTGTTTTATAGATACAAATAGGCTGATTTCTTGAATCAGATTTTAAGAATGTTATTCAGAACTTAATTTTCAATAATAAACTCATTATTTGTATTTGACTCTGCATTCATCCTCCTGAGAAATTCTTTCCTGGACTTTGGAGTGACTCTTACTTTCGCACCTTAACTATCTGTTTGTGTCAAAATCAGCAGTATGTCTGATAAAGTACACCTGGTAACAGAACCCTACCCTAACTTAACATAATCTAACTTTTGATGGCCCCCAACCCTCACATGATGTTAACATTGATTAACAATTAGTGTTTGGTGTTAGGAAGTTAGGATCAATTATATCAAGTTTTAAAGATAAAATTGTTTAATCTATAACACAAGTACAAAGACTGCTTGGTTATATAACACACGTACAGGTAGGCCTCCTACAACGCGGTACCTTTAGAACGTGTTTTCGCTCCAACGCGGTTGGAAAAATGCGGAAATATTCTTACAACGCGGTTTACGGTATTTAGAAACGAATTATCTTTCACATAACAGAAAAGTCGCAACGGATCATGTAATACGTGCCGCAGTTCGGTGTACAGAGCTAAATGTCCTCGAAAACAGCTGTTTGTCCATGTTGACGTGTTATTCCCATGAAAGTTTCAGGGGAAGACCAGTTTCTAGACAGATGTGCATCAGTTACCATAAACACTCAAATATATCACTGAATTTTCGATAATTTATACTCTTTCAATGGGGGGAACCGCAAAAGTGGTCCAAAATACAGTATAAACGTCTATTGGGTGTATATTTTTAACAACATAGTAAAGGGAAGTTATTTTTTTTGATTTTTACTGTCCACAAAACTACTTGAAAAAATTTTAGCCATAACAATGCCGAATGAAAAGAAAGGACCGTCGTTAAAAAGGAAATTTATAACTCTTCAAAGATAGAAATTTTGGATCGAATTAAAAATCAAGAGCGGATAGCTGATATTAGTAGGCATTTTAATTTAAATGAGTCGACTATTCGGTCGATTAAGCAATCGGGAGAAAAGATCAGAAATTTGGTCGCATCCGGATCATCTATTCTTGCGAAAAATGTTGCTCGTCCGAGAGCACCTATAATGAAAAAAATGGAACAAGCGCTAATATTATGGGTAGAAGATATGAACAAGAAACGGTTGCCTTTAAATAAAAGTGCACTTAAACACAAAGCCTTAAAAATATTTGATTATTTAAAACAAATGGGACAGTCGTCGGCTGATGAAACCAGTGTTAAATTCGTGGCTAGCAATGGCTGGTTTGAAAAATTCAAAAAACGCCATTCAAACGCCAAGTTTTTCTCTTTTTAGAACCGAATCCCAGTTTTTGTATTAAGTTGGTGTCTCCTATAACGCAATTTTCCACAACGCTGTATTTTCAAGGAACATATCTACCGCGTTATAGGAGGCCTACCTGTATTAAGAAAGTTCTGGAACTGGGAACAAAAGGGCTTTGTCAGTTGTCAGGAAGCTCTCAAGTGTTGTCAGGTTAGCCACAAGTGATCTGATATTTATATTATTCAGGTTCTTAACATCAACCTCTAAAACTTGATAGTTTTATATATATATATATATATACATGATTTTCCAGATTACAAAGCCTAAATTACTAATGTTATTAATAGTGCAAAATTACTTAGCATTTAATTATTAATCATAGCAGTAATATAGCTCAATATAATCCATCAATTGTTTGGCTTTAATTTAAACTCTTTGTAAAAGATTAAAATTTAAAAGAAAATTTCAAATATATCAAACTTTAAAGTTCAAACCAAATATTTGACAATTCTGTGTATATTATTAATCTAAATTTCTCACTCGTAACTCACATATATATATTTGCATAAAATTGTTGAAACAAAACTTTATGTTTTTTGTAATGTACAATTTTTAAATCTGAAACAAATTATTATTTAAAAAATAAACTTACAGATATATTTAAATTGTTATTAATCTTAATTAAATAAAGTGATTATAAAAACAATTTATTAAAGGATGCAATGCTAACTAAATAGTCAAATATAAGTTATAATTTTTAATTGTAATTTTATCATTTGCATTATATTTAAATGCAAAAATCATAAAAAATACATTGATTAACTATATTTGTATTATATAGTTTCAAGTGAAATTTGATGATTTCCTCAAAAAATTCCAAACTAATAAAATTTCAAATATTAATTAATGAAAAATTTAGCAAAATAATAAATAATTAAAAATTTCTTCCTATATTTAAAATATATTTTAAGAAATATTTGAAAAAAATTGTAATAAAAGTAGAAATTATTAAATACAAAAATAATTGAATTATTACAAATGCAAAACCAATATTCAGCATAATGATTATATGATTTATAGCAAAAAAATTGTTCTTGGCTAATTTAACCTTACATTTATCACATTAAAAATCACCTTCTCAGATTCTAGAACATTGTTTATATGTAACAAATATAAAATTTAATCTAATTTAAAATCTAGACAGAAGTTACTTAGAGCATCATATATCTATACATATACAAAGTATTTTATTAAATAAGTTTTGATAGAAATTATTATTTAAAAGATATTTTTAATCTAAGTATATATTTATCCATTAAATATAAAGATATGTTTTCTTGTTCTAAGATATGAAATTATGTTTAATATAAAATTAAATTCATTACCTTAATAACCTTCGTGTGACAGTAAATTAATTAAAAATTCTTCTGCAAAATGGAAATATTATTTTAAAATTATCTTCAATCTCTAAAAAAAAAATGTAAAATTAACGCGTCGTGTACAGATTGTATATAATTACCCTAGCCTTACTTTGATAATCCTGATAGTTTCTAAATAATTTATATTAATTATATCAATTTAATTATATATATATAATAGGAGCAAATCACAGATCATATTACTTACATAAAAATCAATCTCGTGATAAATCTTATCACATTCCAGATTAAACCATCTGTCACGTTATTTATGCACAAAGTGACTAATCTAAATAAAAATTAATTATTAATAATTAAACCGAACATTATTGCATGTCACGTGTAAATAAACACATGTGTCATTTAACTTTAAAAAATATCTAAAGTATGTGTGCTGCCATCTCGCGATTTTCGACAAAATTCATGAATACTGTATATAAATTATTCTTTTGATAAAAGTTTTATATTATATTCATATAGTTATTAATTATAATGAAAAATCTGTTTAATTAATTATATTATTTTTTTCAATAAATAATATGGAATACAGATGTAAGTTCGATCACCTGTAGTATTTATTCTATGATAATATCTAAGCTTCGATATCCGTATCAATTTTTTATTATTAGTTGATTACATAAGGCGATACAATAATTTTGTTGTAGAGTAAGGTTCATAATTCATTTTTTAACATTAGAATTGCGTTCGGACAGATATGGCATAGAAAATTCTGAAGTAATTAAAGTCAAGTTTTAATAAAGCGAGATACGACAAAATTTGCTATTTACAAAACTTTTCGTAACCGAAAATGTAAATAGGCGTCGTTATATACGACATAGAGTAGTTGTTGTAAATGATTTAAGACGGCCGACGAGTATTTAGTTTTCTTGATTGACGAATTATACATTTTATCGAAGATTTAGCGTTTACTTCGTCTGTCGATCGAAGACATGTTAACGAAATTAATCCGACTCTGTCGAATGTCAATGAAAACGATTTTTAATTTAATTGAGAAACTGAAACCTCGTTTGGAAAGTAGAAGACACGTACAGCGTACTATTTCCTTAATCATATTAATAAGTGATGAAAAGAAAACTTTTTGTTACGGTTGTTTTCGGGACATTAAATTCTTGATTTCCTACTTGTAGAAATCAAGTTTTTTCTCTTTCTAAAAAAATCTCTTTTGTAGGAGCATTTATTTTTGTTTGCTGTGTTTTAGTGTCTTTTTAAACTATACGAAAAGAAAATTTTTATCGCGTATATTATTAAATTCATTATAATTATTTTTTTTTCTAAAAAATTGAGTTGTTTTCTCCAATCATTTAATGAAATTTTCTTAAACATATAATTTTTTTTTGTTTTTGTAAACTGGAGATTACACTCTTAACATGGAACGATTTTTATCATGTCATTTCTGAAGAATTGTATTAAAATGGTTTAAGTGAAAAGTGTGAAAACATCAAAAAACAATATTGTTCGTTCGTATATAAGGTATGATTTTTTAAAATAAGTTTCAATGTGAATTATTAAAGTATAAATTTGAATTAAACAAAACAGACCATTTCTTAATTTTTTGTGTTATACGTGTTATTTTGTTTTGCTAGTTAACACTTCACTCGATACATTTCGCCAGAGGCGCTGTGGTCGGTCGTAGCCAATTTGTTTTGAAATGTCGATAAGTTCTTTTTAGTTCTTTGAAATGCCGTTAGGTTCGCTTTTTGACTCCCTATTCCGATGTAGATAAGGGAACGATTTTAAGAAATTTATTATCTGTTACTTTTACAAATGGTGAATTGCTGTGTGCCTTTTTGTAAATCTAAGCAGATGAAAGGTAGTAATATTGGATTTCATAAATTTCCCACAAATGAACTTCAAAGAAGAAAATGGGTTGTAGCAGTTTCCCGTCAAGGCAACAAGACAGGCTCATTTTGGATTCCGAGTAAAAGCTCTGTAATTTGCAGTAAACATTTCAAAGAGAAGGATTATAGCATTAGCACAAGAAAAAGAGTCCTTTTACCAAATGCAATTCCCACTGTTTTTGATATATTTCCGAGATACAGACAAATCATACAGACGAAAAGGAAACCATCAAAAAGAAGACACAGTGGAGAAGATTTAGAAGAATCTCTGAAAAGAATAAAAAAACAACATTAATCCAAGTGTTCAGTCATAGCCTGTTTCAGAAATAATTAAAAATTAACCCAAAATATATAAGCATAGGCAGACAATATTCATTTCCTCTGAACAAATGAATGGTATCAAAAGCTTCTAAAATAAAATTAAGGGGAATTGTTAATAGAAATTCAAAGCAGGAAGGTCTTGTTGTGAAATTAAAATAATGTATTAAGTATTTGAAGGAAAAATTCAAATTACAGAAAAAAAATCATTATGATCAAAGCTGCATACATCATGATGAAGCTGAACATGATCTAAAAGTAAATTTATTTTAATTGAGTAAATTGAAGCCTTTGGGAAAAAAAACGTGTCTACAATCAAGATTAGTGTCTTATCATCAACATGTTATAGATTATTAAGAGATTTAAATATTTTGTGACTTATACTTCAAAAAACTTTTTATTTTAACTAAAGGATTATCAACATTTTACAAAAAAACAATTTTATTTTAATTACTTTTAAACTAACTGGATAAGAATTGGCAAGATTAATTATAGATGCTATGGAAGCAGAGGAAAGTGGTTTCAAAATTGTATTGTAACACAACTATCAAGTTAATGTAATAATGATGCATTGCCTGGTAAAGCAGTTGGCATGTAATGTACAGTTGATATGACTACCAAAGGGAGATGTGTAAAATTGAATGTTTCTAATAAACTTTTATTTAACAGTATTAATACAGCTGCATAAGAAAACCAATGGCATAATCCATGTCAAATAAGACAGGCTATGTCATTGGCTTTCTTATCTAGATGTATTAAAGCTGCTCTACTAGGCAATATGCCCAATATTTCAGATTTTATCTGGAGGAAATGTTGAACATAAAATCCACATCCAATAAATATTAGTAGCAACTATTTTTAAGTTGTGTCTCTGTCATATTAAAAATATATGGTTACAGCACTTAGAAAGAAATATTGATGTCAATAATAATACAGTATTGTAATATTGCAGATTTTTAAAAATTGTATATAATTTACAAAAAATACTTGTAATAAAACCAGTTAGAAAATTAATTTGAAGGATCATATTTTCTCCAAAATTAATGCTTGATTCAAAAAACATATGGACATTTTATGTCCAGGAAAGTTAAGAAAAAAATAGTTTATATAAAATTATCAACTGTTTGGAGAAACTTAAAGTGCTTTCATATACATGATATCTCAAATACAACACGAGTTCACTCTAGAAATGAAGATAGAATGATTATTCTCTAAAATTGATAATGAATGATTAAATTGATTGATTGATGAATTCTGTAATCAAAGGTGAACTTCAACAAAGTGATTTATTTTTAATTTTTATTGTTAACTAGCTGCAAGGATCCGCTTTGCTGGGTTTTTATTTGTGGACAAAAAGTAACGATAGTGAAGATAATTACATTATAGCCAATCTTACCCATTTTCACAGAATGCAAGATTTAGGTCCCCCGTTTCCAGACTAATTAGAGAATTTTTATGTCCAGTCAAACGAACTATTTTCAATTTGATCAATTTTCTGGAACATTTACAATCGTTCTATAATCGAATCAATTCGAATACAAATTCAAATTCGAAAATTTTTAAAATCGAAATAGAAAATCTTCCACTTTCAAGCCCATATGTCCTGCACCCTTATAGTTATCGAGACGCAACCACCATAGTGCACGAATGGAGACTTGGGGCTACTACCACATACAAACANATATTTTTAATTTATTTAATTTAAAATATGTGCTTGCCACCAAAAATTAGTACATGTCCCTGTAGTGGCTTGTCCCTGTACATCATACTTTTCCTTTAACAGTAGAGTTCTGCCGGTCATCTATACCAGTGCAGAAAATCGTGTCGAGCAACTTCTAACTTTTCCCTATTCCGTAAAGAATAGGGAAAAGGACTTTCTTGCACCGATAGCAATCAAGTAGAGATTTACGTTATCACCATTGCATAATAAATAGTTTCGAAAGAATATAGTACAGTATTTGAAGTTTTAGAGCAATCGGGATTTTATGCAATCGTCTATAGAAGACATTAAAAAATATTCTCATCCATTGACACGCAGACATGCCAACTAAATGCTACAATAGTGTTTTCTTTCATTTTGGCCATATCGGCTGTGACGTCATTACAATAATAACCAATATCCGATTGCTTAAATTCTTTACCGGATGTGACGAGGACACGATGTATATTTCGCACAGAGCCACTATAGAATTACTTTTCTGTATTCTTTTTCCGCATTACTTTTCCGTAGTGATTTTTCTTGAGCGAGGGCGGTCTTAAAAAGAAATGCATCGAAATTATTTTAATTAATCGTAAACACCAGAAATCAGCGACAAGTCGCCAAAGATTTGACAGGCTACATTTAGACTTCCCACCCCTCACCCGCATCAATTTGGAGAAGAATTTACTGCGAAAAACAGAAGATGACATATACTTGAGAAAAAGTGATTAAGTTAGCAAAGCAGATTTTTAAGCTTATTAATTATAATATATTAAAATATTATAGCTTATTAAATATTTAATTCTCAATTACTGTAAAATCTGCAGTTATTATATCTACTGTCTCAATGACTATGGTTACATGATAATATCAGAGGTATCCCAGGCAAATTTATTTTTGAGGCTCATTAAAAGTGATGAAGGTAGGGGATAGACTTATTTAGGTTTAGAATACTATGAACATTTTTAACATATAGTGAAACATACAATAAAGTGATAAAAACATATACAATAGTTTTACAATGAATTAGAAAATTCAATAGGTGCACAGAAATCCATCTACAAAACTTCTGCTTTTAGCAGTGCTGAATCAATTAAAAAAAATTCCAGTTCTTCAGTGATATTTCAATAAACAAGATTGAAAGTGAAGAAAATCTCTCTGGATACTGTTTTGAGGTAGTTCTTGATGAATTTTAACTTAAAAATGATTGTTCTGCTAATGCAATGGATAATGGTACATTTACATTTTCAATACTCTGTAATAGCAATTTGATGAGTTTAAATACAAAAATATACTGCCAAATTTGGAAGGCCTCTGAAAGCAATTCTCTAGGTGTCTTCTCTTATTACCTACATGTAGGGATGCTTCTGTTTAATATAAATAGGTAAAAAAACTTATTGTGTAAACTAGAATGTATATCATCTCCAGCAACACCCTTTGTGTTTTTAAGATCAAGGAAGCTTATAATATCAAAAATTATCTCTTGTTATTC